GAGGGGCTGAGGCAGACGGGCTGGTCCCACACCCACGTGTGGCGGATAAAAATCAGGAGGGCACCTCGGCTGGGAAGGTCCTTCCTGAGGACTGAGGGGTCCCTGCCCCACACCAGGCGCCCAGCTCAGGGTTCCAGTGCCAGGAAGAGAATCCCCATAACTTCTGGCTGGAAAAACCAGCAGGAACGGAGGTTCAGGGAGGCTGAGGTGGCTGGAGCCCCTGGCAGCTCCTCTGAAAGGGCCTGTGCAGGGACTCACTTCCTCTGTGCTTCAGAGACATATGGGGAAGAACTGAGTTGTTCCTTTGGTGAGCTTTTCCGTTGTTCCTACAGGGCCGGCAGGAATGTGCTTCTGCAGAAAAAGGGCAGTTAATCTAATAGAGAATTGCCTTCCCCAAGAGGCTTTGCTAAGTCTAAGGTCTGCAAAAGAATAGATACAGAATTTGTAAATTCAAATCCCATAGACTGTGAAAGAGGGAATAAAGCAAAAAAAAAAAAGTCAATCTCATATAACACAAGAAAGGAAGAAAAATAAACAAGTAAAAACATAGTTAATTTAAAACCTTGCAAAATTTAGTGGAAATAAGTGAATATATCAGTCATTTCTAATATCTCTAACTTTACATTTACTAATGAAAAGAAATTGGATTGAAAATAACCCAACCAGCCCTGGTCGGTTTGGCTCAGCGGTTAGAGCGTCGGCCTGCGGTCCAGAGAGACCTGGGTTCGGTTCCCGCTAAGGGCACGTACCTCGGTTGCAGTTTGTCCCCGGCCCTGGTTGGGTCGTGAGGGTGGCAGCCACTCGATGTGTCTCTTTCACATTGATGTTTCTCTCTCTCTCTCTCCCTCCCATTCTATCTAAACAAAAAGTGTGTTGCCCTGGTCGGTTTGGCTCAGCGGTTAGAGCATCGGCCTGCGGTCCCGAGAGACCCGGGTTCGGTTCCCGCTAAGGGCACGTACCTTGGTTGCAGTTTGTCCCCGGCCCTGGTTGGTTGTGTGGGTGGCAGCCACTCGATGTGTCCCTTTCACGTCGATGTTTCTCTCTCTCTCTCTCCCTCTCTTTCTCCCTCTCCCTCCCACTCTACCTGAACAAAAAAATGGAAAAAATGTCCTCGGGTGAGGATGAAAATAAATAAATAAATAAAAAAGTGTATACCGTTGAGCAAGATTGCCTGTGTTTGTATCTCAGCCTGATCATTCATTAGCTGTGTAACCTTGGGTAAAATGTTTAACCTTTTTTTTTTTTTTTATCCTCACCCGAGTACATTTTTCCATTTTTTGTTCAGATAGAGTGGGAGGGAGAGAGAGGAAGAGAGAGAGAGAGAGAGAGAGAGAGAGAAACATTGACATGAAAGGGACACATCGAGTGGCTGCCACCCGCATGACCAACCAGGGCGGGGAACAAACTGCAACCGAGGTACGTGCCCTTAGTGGGAACCGAACCCAGGTCTCTCTGGACCGCAGGCCGACGCTCTAACCACTGAGCCAAACCGGTCAGGGCAAAATGTTTAACCTCAATTTCTTCATAGTAAAATGGAGTTAATATTAATTTCCTTATAAGTTTGTTGTATTGATTATTACAATTTAATTATTTTTTACTATATTTGTCCTTGTTTTATGATTTCTGAGGACATTTATTTCTTCCAGGATAGATTTCTCAAAAGTCACGAATAGCCTTGGCCAGTTTTGCTCAGCAGTAGAGCATTGGCCTGTGGTTCAATGAGTCGTGGGTTTGATCAAAGGCACGTACCTTGGTTGCGGTTTGTCCCCTGCCCTGGTCGGGGTCATGTGGGAGGCAACTAGTCGATGCGTCCCTCTCACATCGATGTTTTTTTTTCTCTCTCTCTCTCTCTCCCTCTATTCCATCTGAGATAAATGAAAAAATATCCTTGGGTGAGGATTAAAAAAAAAAGTCACGAATAGATTAATGAATGTTTGTCTTGGTGATTAATTGGCTGTAGAAATGAAGGAAAGCAATCTGTTTTAAAACCTAACTGATTAGAAGAATATTAGTACAACAATTGCACTAAGATGGGTGTGAGGGTGGTGGGGAAGTGTACGGACTTCTCTGTGTGATAACACAACCTCTTTTGGGAGAATGGTAGAGTTTTGTGCTGAAGCTGGCTCACATTGGCTCACCAAAGCTGATCGTTAAATTTTCAAAAATTTTGTGAACCAGTTATAACTACCATTATTTAGAATTATATTGTATAAACTTACAATAAAATAGATTCTCTCAAAAAATAATATTGAAAATTCATCACTTCCTAATTACTTACTACATTTTACTATTATCTGTACTCTTGAGTTATTGATGTCTATCGTATCTATAAGGTAGAAATATTATGTTAAGTGTGCTAATGGTCATGTCTTTTGCCCCACCCTGTAAACTAGTTTCACTCTAGTTTTATTTCTTGAAAAATGATGATGTGAGAGGAAAGAGAAACTGTTTGCCCAGTTCTGGACCTCCAAGCTCTGGGGAGAAGAGGATACTGATTTTCATTGTGGTTTGGAGTGGGATGCCTTGTGGGGAAACCGTCACCACTGGGTGGCGGAGACTTGCCCTTCTGTGTCCTCCCCACTTCCTTTGCTGTGGATCAGGGTGGTTTGAACTGGATAATGAGCGATACCTGCAGGTAGAAAACTGGAGAAAATATCTTAATACAGTTTAGCATCATTATAGATCAGGATCAAAAGCCCAGTAAACTCTCTTTGGCCCATCTCTGGTTCTCTTCATTGCTAAGTTTATTTGTAATTAAGAGACAATAGGTCAGATCCAGTCCTGCAGGGGAAAGCAGCTCAAATTTTGGCAGAGTCGTAGAGATCTCATCACCTCCTTCACAGAGGAAACAGAACCCATCAGGAAAGGACTTCCATACCTTCTATCAACGGTCATTCAGAATTACCCACTTCTGCAGGCCATCTCCGCCTTTTCCTGAGGCAGAGGGGAAAGTGTCCCCTTCCTGAGGTTACTACCTCCAGGATTCCATTCCACTTTCTCCCATAGCCTGTATCTTCAACCTTCCCTTCAGTTCTTTCTACCAATATTTAAATAGGCCTAAGACTCTTCCATCTTAAAATTATTTTAGAAGTCAGGAAACAAACATAACAACAACTGCCTGATCTTATAACCCCATAAACTGCTGCCTAATTCTGTTTTCCCCTACAGTCACACTTCTGGAGGAACTGACTCCGCTTGTTGCCTCCACTTCCTTTCTGTCCTCCCCCCAGTGCCATCTCTGCCTCCTGCCCCCTCACTAGGATACAGTGTTTGCAAGGTCCCCAGCAGTCCAAGGGACTTCTCTCATATTGGCAGTGCTTGAATGATAATCCCTCCTTCTCACTGGAAACACTCCTTTTTTTGCTTTTGTTAACTCTCGCCCGAAGATATATTTTTCCACTGATTTTTAGAGAGGGTAGAAGGGAGGGAGGGAGGGAGAGAGGGAGAGAAACATCAATTGAGAGCGACACATCGATCGGTTGGTTGCCTCCTGCACACGCCCTGACCAGGGTTGGGGATCTAACCTATAACCCAGGTCCATGCCCTTGATGGAGAATCAAACCTGAGACCCTTTCTCCAGCTGACCAACACTGAGCAACACCAGCCAGGGCTGGAAACACTCTTTTATTATGGGTCTAGGATGCACACATTCCTAGGCTCTCTCCCACCTTTCTGGCCTCCTCTTGGTGTTCCTATCTGGTAGATGTCATTATTATCTAGCCCAGTGATTTTCAACTTTTTTCATCTCATGGCACATATAAACTAATTACGAAAATCTTGTGGCACACCAAAAAAATATATATTTTTGCCGATCTGACAAAAATAGGTATAATTTTGATTCATTCACACTGAACGGCCATTGTTGCATTGGCTGTCATTTTTTGTTGTTGTTATTGTCATTTTTTTATTTGACAACCTAAGGGAAAAGAGGTAAATATCCCAGACTATCTTTAGATAGAGTGGGAGGAAGGGAAAGAGGAAAAGAGAGAGAAACACCGGTATCAGAGAGACACATAAACTGGTTGCTTCCCATGCGACCCCGACCAGGGCTGGAGGGCAACTGCAACCAAGGTTCGTGCCCTTGACCAGAATTGAACCCGCGACTCACTGGTCTGTGGGCCGACGTTGTAACCTCTGAGCCAAACCAGCCAGGGCAGGTATTGAATGCTTTAAAAATTCTTGTGGCATACTGGTTAAAAATCACCGATCTAGCCAGTTGCTCACGCTATCTGTGGATGACCATGGAGTCACCTGTGAGCATCTTCTCTCACCATCCACATCCTTCAGTCAGTCCTGCAGCTGTGCCTTCAATACTGAATCCAGCTTTTCTCAGAAGGTCCTCTGCCAGCACCCTGGTCTCAGCCACTCCCATTTCTCACCTGGACAATACAGCAGCCAGCCACTTGGTGGCCTCCCTGCCTCTGCTCCAGCTACCACACAGCAGCCAGATGGATTCTGTACACGTACATCAGATTATGGCATGTCCCTCTTCTCCACCCTCCAAGGCTATCCCCCACCATCCTTAGGCCTCAGGTTATATGTTACCTCCTCGTAAACCCTCCCTGAGCTCGTCCTAATTTGTTCCTTCTAAGAGCACTTACTCCAAACTGTGTCATAACACTGCAGTGTCCCACAGCTTCCAAGCTCAGAGAGGGCAGGAACTGCGTCGGTGTTGAATCCACGCCTTGTGAATATTTCCTAAAAAACTGGTAAATGTACGGTTCTTCTCCCCCATTTCTAGACATATAATAACAGATCAGGGAACAAACTTCAAATGAAGGAAAGCAAGGTACAATTCTGACAATTAATTGCTTGTTGAAAGAAGACCCTAGATGGGCCCCAAACATTGTAAAGTCACAGTTTGATGAGCCATTTTATTTCCTTGTAAAATGTCGGCTTGAGGCAAACACGAAACTTTGTTTGCAGGAAGTCTTGTGACCCAAAGCTGCTGATTTCACCTGCGACTTGTGTGAGTGTCAATAAGCCCTGATTTTAGGGACCCCTGTACACCCAGATGCCTGGAGTGGCCTTTGGCTGGGCTCCAGAGGGAGGTGAAGATTTGCTGGGTGACTAATCCAGTCTGAGGTTGCTGTTTACAGCCACGGACAGGGAGGAGTTTTCCCTGGAAACGAAAGCGAAAGAGGCAAAGTTAACCGCCCTAAGTTGCAGCGAGACTGGCAGTCTTGGCCATACCAGTGGAGGTGAGGATGGCTGAGCCCGGCTACTTCCCGCTGCTGGTCGAGGGGTCCTGGGGCCCCGACCCCCCGAAGAACTTGAACACCAAGTTGCAGATGTACTTCCAAAGCCAGAAGAGATCGGGAGGCGGGGAGTGTGAGGTCCGCCCGGTGCCGGGCAGCCCCGCCCGCTTCCTGGTGCTCTTCCACCCGCAGGACGGTGAGGGTCGCCTGGGGCGGGGGCGGGGGCGAGAGGGGGCCGCCAGGCTCCGACCGCCAGGCTCGGGCCGCCAGGCTCCGCCCGCCCGGGGAACAAGGGAAGTCGGTGTGGGGATGGAGGAGACATTTGTGTGATGCTCTGGATTTGGTAACCGGTTCTCTGGGAATGGTCAATGTTCCATGTGGAGGGAGGGAGAGGGAGAGTCAGAGTCCCTTTTCTTTCTGTCAGTTTTTAGGTGGGGAAGGAAAGGGGCTAAGCAGTGTGAGGAGTCCTGACGATTTCCCCATGGGTCATGGAGATTCCCAGGGGTTCTGGGATAACCTGGGAGAGGGGCAGAGGCGCTGCTTCAAATCACGCTGTCTGGGTGGAATAGAGTTATTGGAGGGGACGACAGCTAGCGCTTGATCTAGGCAGTATCTTTGTTGGTGGTGCCCTCCCCTCAGTTTCACCTTGGTCCTCGCACTGGGTTGAATAGGTTGGGAGTTTTGAGTTTTGAGTTTTGAGTTTTGAGGGGGAGGTTCCCTTCTTACAGGCAGTTGAGCAGCTGAGTTCTCCGCTCCTCTCAATGGATTGCTTTTGCTGTTTAAGGAAGGGGGAGGACAGATACCCACCAAATACCTGCTTGCTTGCGACACACACCAAGTCTTACGACACACACCAGGTCTCGCACCGGGAGAGATGTGGCCACCTGCTCCCAGAGCACTGTTTCCATCGGCATCTCCTAGGAAAGAAATTCTGCTTTCTTTCTTTTTTTTTTTTTTATCCTCACCCGAGGACATTTTTCCATTTTTTGTACAGATAGAGTGGGAGGGAGAGAGAGAGAGAAACATCGACATGAAGGGACACATTGAGTGGCTGCCATCCGCACGACCATCCAGGGCCGGGGACAAACTGCAACCGAAGTACGCGCCCCTAGCGGGAACCGAACCCGGGTCTCTCCGGACTGCAGGGCGACGCTCTAACCGCTGAGCCAAACTGGCCAGGGCTAAAATTTTCTTTTTTTTTTTTTTATCCTCACCCGAGGACATTTTTCCATTTTTTGTTCAGGTAGAGTGGGAGGGAGAGAGAGAGAGAGAGAAACATCGACGTGAAAGGAACACATCGAGAGGCTGCCACCCGCACAACCGACCAGGGCCGGGGACAAACTGCAACCGAGGTACGCGCCCTTAGCGGGAACCGAACCCGGGTCTCTCAGGACCGCAGGCCAACGCTCTAACCGCTGAGCCAAACCGGCCAGGGAAATTCTGCTTTCTTGTCACTGGATTTGTGAAGCACTTGGGCCAGAGGAGAAGCAAGGAGACTTACAGGGCCACGAGAGCAACTGGAGAGCTTTAGGCAAAGATCCAGAAAGGAAAGACAAAACCCGGAGGGGAAAGTTGTGCCCAGATAATGTAAAGGAAGTGAGGTGGGCGCGGGACAGGAGACAGGAGACCTGCTTGGCTCAGAGCTTTGTGAAAAAGTACATCTTTAGGGTATTTCAAAAGAGAAAACTGTATAGGCAGGAAAAAACAACAACCACAGAGAAACAAAGTACATAGTTTTCCAAGGATTAATTTCACCTAGGAATGCTCAGAAGGGCAGCCGTCTGATATAAGTAATTTCCTCAGGGCGTTACTGCTTTGATTCCAACTGTTAGCATCACCATGGGCCTGGCCCTTAGGAATGCTTCTTCCTTCTTTAGCATCCCATTACCCTCAGGAATAGTTCTCAAATTGGGGCCACAGACCCCTGCATCGGACTCTCAGCAGGTTAAACAGACACAGCTCAGCTCTGTCCTAGAGACTCAGGAACCCCAGTGAGGGTGGGTGAGAGGTCATCAGTACTTTGAACCAGCATCCCAGGTGACTCTGATGCACTAAAGGGAGAATGCCTATTGTTTGTTGATGACCTCGAATGAACAAAGGGGGATCCGATTATGGAAACTACAAACAGCATAAAAACCGGCGCAAAATATAGTTTTGTGATGATAACATCATTCTGTTCTAGCCTTCAAAACAGAACTAGTTTCAGTCTCCTGTCAGGCGTCTTCCTTCACATGTTCTAGACCACGACCCCCTTCCTCCATCCCAAAGCTGCTCCAGTGGCCCCTTTGTGTTCCCCGCAGCAAAGACATCTCAAGACTTGGTGTAACACAAGACCTTTTATGGTCAAAGTTCTTGGCTAGTGGAAAGTCCCATTCAGTTTCTGTTTCCTATCAGAAGAACAGCTTTCTGGACAGCAAGTTGCCAGGAACTGGCTAACAATGAATGACCTGCCTTAGCAGTCCTAGGACTGGAAAGGGTCCTCTCTTACAGGGAGATCCTCCCCACCCTCACACCAGGAAGTGGCCTCATTAGGTGCAGGCTCACTGTGTAACAGTACTTCAGTCATGTAATTCACATAATAAGAATGAGCCCTCCAGCATTTCTCTGTAGAAATTACTGTAGAGCACACAGGACTTATTTAGAAGCTCTGTCTTTCTTTTATATAGTTCACGGAATTTCTGAAAAGTTGAGTGTAAATTGACTTAGGAGATTTTAAACCCCGTTTCAGATGTGTACATTTATCATCCTCTCTGGTCATAATTTGGCTCCTGATTATTGTCTGTTTGTTTGGGGTAAGGAAACCCATCTTCTCTTTAAATAAAAGTAAATGTAGATGGTTTGTTATTAGTGCAACAAGGACATGGTTCACAAGGGTACGGATGGCTGGACATCAGAGTTGCAGCTCTTTTTCCTCCCAGATTCACTTTCTCCTAGTTGGAGAGCACTTACTGATCTTGCTGCCATCTGCACTCTTGAAGTAGTGGTGGTCATAGGTATTGCACACAGATCAGGCTGGCACATTTAAATGACTATCTAGGACTCTACCGAAGTCTAGGGAATAATAAAAGGAATACATCACAGTGCGTGACTCTGGAAAACCTGGCTTACAAAACGTAGCTTCCTCTCTGGCCTCAGGTTCTTATCCAGTCCTCACTCAAGCTCAGGGCAGCCCCTTAGGAGTCCATGTAAAGACCTCTGCCCTCCCATAAAGAGTGAAATTAGTGTTCAGCATTTCTTCTCCTATTGTTTCTGGGAGGTCTGCTTCATTCAGTTGGCATCCAGTAAGACCTCACTTCTCCTACCCCTTCATGGATGGTTGAGGTGGAAAAGTTATTCAATCCCCTCTCTTTGAAAGATTCCTATGTATATCCTTGGCCTCATCAGGCCAACCATATCAGAACCACAACACGACTCTGGAATACAACATGTAACCCAACTCATGGCAGAGCTACACTTGTGAACAGTAGAGCACTTTTTTTTTTTTTCCTTCTCCCCCTTTTATTGAATTTAGAAAGAGAGGAAGGGAGAGGGAGAGAGAGAGAGAAACATTGATGAGAGAACATCAATTGGTCACCTCCTGCACGCCCCCACTGGGGATTTGGCCCACAACCTGGGCATGTGCCCGAATGGGAATCGAACCAGTGACCTCTTGGTGCATGAGTCAATGCTCAACCACTGAGCCACACCAGCTGGGCCAGTAGGGCACTCTTAAAGGGTCCTCTTCACCTTGACATTTTTGTACCATTTGACTGTGTCAGCCACACCTCCACATCTAAACTCATTCCTTGTTCTTCACAGTTGGAGATACACTGACTTTCCCTTTATCTCTCTGGCTGCTCCTTCTTATTAATTATCTTACACGTGCATACCTCTTGTAGGTGTTACAAAATTTATTCACAGACCACTGGTTTGAGTGAAGAAGTAAATTTAAGAGAAGTTAAGATATTTTCTCAATGTCATTCATCTTGTTTGTGGCAGAGTTGAAATTTCAGTTGAGATTTTTTAAAATCTTATGTCCATTGTTCAGTTTTTTCACTACTGCCCTGCTGCCTGATGTTGTTGTAAGGTGTCAGCGAGATAACCAGAGATGCACAGCCGAATTGTAAAGGAGTACTTCATTACACCGGCAGGCTGGGGGGGGCTCTCCCCAAATCCTCAGCCCCGAGCCTTCTTTGTTGCCCGCTTTTAAAGGCACAACCTACAGAAAAAAACTACATTCTTTTGGCGCCGCTTTTGGTTGGGGCTGATATAGAGAAGGGGGAGAAAGGAGCTTGTTAGAGGTCAGGGCAACCATTAATCTCTTTTTTCTCATGGTTCCTCTGAGTTTCCCAAGGCCATTATTAACCCCTTATCTTTATAGTTTTCTTTAGGTTTCTCAAGGCCCTTATGTTTAAAAGAAAGAGTCTCCCAGCGTATGTACGTGCAGTAACTAAGCGTCAGAATGGAGTTATTACAATGCGCTATTTAAAAAAAAAATCTCTCTATTCCTTTTTTTCTTCTCCTTTCAATATCACACATGAGGCTCTTATCTTTCCAAGTTAAAGAATTGATTGGAATAGTTTTTAACTAGCCATTCTGCTCCTGGTTACCTGAGTCACCTTCCTAAAACATGGCTTTTACCATGCATGCCCCAGCACCCAATCTTCACTTGCTCACCGTGATGGATGCTTAAATTACTTCCTTTACTGTACAATAAAGATTTCTCCCTTTCTGAGAGCCTACTGAGCATCAGGTGTTACACTAAATTCTTTATCGTGTTTCTTCAATTTAATCTATGTAATATCCATATAAGACAATTCTTATTAATTACTTATTAATATACAAGAAGACAGAGGCTTTTAAACATGCTTAAAGTTAAAAAAATAAGTCTGGCAATAGAATTCAAATCTATGTCTGCTTGCTAAACATTTCTTTTCTTTCTTTGTTTTAACTACATAAAGTCTCTCTTGGGGAAATGACCGAACAATTGATTGATGGTAATAAAGCCTATGGAGATCATGGAATAATTCTGTAAATAAAGATTGCTTGACAATTCTTCTTCTTCTTCTTCTTCTTCTTCTTCTTCTTCTTCTTCTTCTTCTTCTTCCTCTTCCTCTTCCTCTTCCTCTTCCTCTTCCTCTTCCTCTTCCTCTTCCTCTTCTCCTCTCCTTCTTTTTTGATATTTCAGTTCGGCAGAATGTTCTGGAGAGAGAGAACCATGAGTTAGTATGGCCAGGAAAAGGAACATTTAAGTTAACTGTCCAGTCGCCCACACCCCGAGATGAAGTCCATGATGTCTCCAAAGGGAAAATTCCAACAAAGGTAAGTAAAGGAGTGAACAAAGGGGAAGTATGGTGTTCTCCCAAGGTGTGTGGGATGGAAAGCACAATGAGAAAAAACTAATGGAATAAAAAATATAAATCAAACAAAAGTCAGAAATGCAACTTACGGATGTGGTGGGATAGGTATGGAATAATGAAGAAAGGGGCACTTTCTGTTTGATTTTAGACACTTTTTAAAAAGCAAGATTTGAGGGTTATAATAAGGGTGGTTTAAGATGAAAATTTTGGGTTTCTCCTGGGTGCTCTGAACCTGGAACTTGCTGTATTGGTTTTACTTATATGTTGTTTTGAGGGGATAGCGATCCATACTGCATGACTATTTCCTAAAATGGTATAGTAATATTATCTGCCTTGTTGGTTTGTTGGATTGATGTAAAGATTAGAGCCCTGGCCGGTTTGGCTCAGCAGTTAGAGCGTCGGCCCGCGGTACTGAGAGACCCGGGTTGGTTCCCGCTAAGGGCATGTACCTCGGTTGCAGTTTGTCCCCGGCTCTGGTCAGTCGTGCGGGTGGCAGCCACTCGATGTGTCCCTTCACGTCGATGTTTCTCTCTCTCTCTGTTCCTCTCTCCCCCTCCTACTCTACCTGAACAAAAAATGGAAAAATGTCCTCGGGTGAGGATAAAAAAAAAAAAAAAAAAGATTAGATGAGACAACCTGTATAAAGCAAATGGTATAGTGTTTGTTCATAGGAAACACTCAATAAGTGTTAATGGGGAAAGCTGTAGGTCTCGCCCCATGCCCCGGACACTTGGTGTTCACTGGGGTTTCTGTTATTTGTGACTCATCGGTAGCAGTGATTTTTGTGCTGAGTAAGTGGATGTGCCACTACACATGGTGGGGTTGGGGGGGCATTCAAAAGTGTCATTGCCAGAGCTTTTTATGATCATTTCTGTTGATTCTACATTTCTAGGCTGGTCCCAGGCACATTTTCTTGTTTTTTTTAATTCTCACCCGAGGACATTTTTGCATTCATCTTCAGATAGAGCTGGAGGGAGAGAGGGAGGAAGAGAGAGAGAGAAACATCGATGTGAGAGAGACACATCGACTGGTTGCCACTGGCATGACCCCAACCGGGGCTGGGGACAAACCTCAACCGAGGTACATGCCCTTAGCGGGAACTGAACCCGGGACTCTGGTCCACAGGCCGATGCTCTAACTGCTCGCCAGGGTCACATTTTCTCAATGTAAAGAAATTATTAGTAATTTATTAATGCTACTTTATTATCTGGATTTCAGGAATCCAAGACCAAAGAACATGCCAAAGAACCAGGTAAGGTCTCAATTGAGATGATTTGCCTTCACAAGGCAGCTTGGCTTTTGTTAAAGACGGCACTTGTAGACATCGTCCTTATCTTCTTTACTCCGCAAGGCAGGGCTTTCTCAGCTTGAGAAGCCTTGGGCTGCATCCGCTATATTTACAGCCAGCTGTGCAGAGGGTAAACACTGGGGGAGCCACTTGAGCTTCAAGGGCTCAGGTCAGAAGGCGGGGAGCAGCTCTCTCAGTGGGGACTGAGAGACACCTTGCAGGTGAGGGGAGGGCAAAGAGGTGCCTGGAAGATGGTGATGAACTGACATTTAGAGCCCACTTATGCCCAAGCTGCCCTGGAGAAGCAAGTGCATAATGTATCAGTGGGTGCAGTGTGTGGCTAAGTCAGTTTCTGAGAACTGGGTGTGCAAAGTGCTGTCCTCTGTGGATGAAAGCTTCTGAGTGCTGGGTGCAGGGTGGAGGTACAGCCCTCCAGACCAGCAGCAGCTCTTCTCGTCCCAGCTGCTGTAAGAAAGAGCCTGAAACCTAGTAGCTGTTGTGGACACTGTTGCTTAGTGTCTGGGCGTTGGCCCGTAGCACCTGACATTTACTAAAGAAGCAACTAGTTTTCCTGGCCAAGCATGGTGTTATAAAAGGAAAGAAATGATGAAACGTGTTGAATGGCTGAGCAAGAGAGATAAAGTGATACAGTACATATGTCCAGATCTTAGGGAAAAGGAATTCCAAAAAATGTGTAATTATTTTCTTCTAAAGTAGAAATTGTTTCGAGGACATGTTTAGATTTTTGCAACTTTGTTTGACAGTGGCACTAGGATGAGAGCTGTCTTTACTCAGTAAAGCTGGATAGGGATGGTTAGACTGTTTTTACCTTACGTGAATGTTACTACAAAACTCTGGAATCTAGTATGCATGGTTTCCTTAAGAAGTTCATGACTCTAATAAGATAGGATCCCTCCCTCCCCATTTTTCAGATATCAGACTGGCTCATCCAACTCTCAGTGTTCATTGTGACCCCTAAATCCTTAACCTACTTCTTGAATGATACCTTACATGCTATACCCTCAAGTTCAATATTAGACCAGGAAGTGGTTTTATATTTGTACATTTACAGTGGAAGCTTGTTTCTCGGACTTAATTCATTCCAGAAGGCTGTTCAAGAAGCGATTTGTTCAAAAACTGAATTATTTTTTCCCATTAGAAATAATGTAAGTTAAATTAATTAATTCCAGACCCCCAAATGACTCCGTTTTAACCTTTCTTATATACAGTACATGTCTAATGTAGTGTTTAATCTACAAACACTTTTTCTCTTAAATTTATCAAACCACCCTCTATTAGCCTTAAACAAATCACTTTCAGCACTCATTCCAGGGGTGTTTCAGGAGGTCAGCATGCCGCAGTCTTCACTTTTTCATATGTCCTTACCTCCGAAATGCTGTCATGGGCTAACTGCTTTTTGTTTATTCAAACCATGAACAGTTTGTCTACCTCTTCAATTGTCTGTGATCATTGTTTATTTCACCATTAGCAAAATTAGCAATCTTGATGGCCTCTTTATCTTTTAAAGTCATCCATTTTGCCAGCAACAAAAGCAAAAAAAAAAAAAAAAGCATTTACAGCACAATTTTCTAGGATGTTACCAACCAAGCGTTATTGGTAAACTGACTCAAAGTGGTGCGTTCTCTCCTTTGTTTGTGGCCTGAGAGACACTCTTTGTCATGTTGACGTATCAGCATGAAAAGATTGACAGGTCGAGAAACAAAGTTTGTTCAGCAACTGAGACATTTTTTCTGTGACCAACTTGGTGGAGAACCTAATTGTTCAAGAAGAGAGACATTCTAGAACCGAGGTTTGACTGTATATCTGTACCATTTCCAACACTGAGAATTTAATCAAGTCTGTTTTTCTTATGGTTTCATAGATTTTACCCTAACTCTGTCTTTATTGATTTATTAGCACTGCTTCAGTATGTATCCAGCCCCGCTCCACCAATGGACTTTTCATTGTTCTGGAAATTTTAGACCCATTTACTAACCTGTTTTACTTGTTCCAGACTGTAATCAGCCAAAAAGTTGGGTAGTCTTCAACAAGGGACTTAATTGGCCCCTTTAACAGATGGAAGCAGAGGTCTTTTGTCGAATGGTTTCTCCACACTGACTCCTGAACTCCTGAAATTAATTGGAATGATGTAGACAGTTTTCAAGAGTTCTAGCTGTCGGACCATTGTCAGGACTCTTAGGGTCATTGTCAGAATTTTTGAAATTCACTGGAAGGGTGAGCAAAATGAGGATGGAGGGTGGTTACCTAATAGGTCCATATCTGAGGGATGAAGAAAGTAAAGGAGTCTGACCAGGAATGCACTAGGCATGCCTGAAACCCAGAGCTTCTAGTTAAAGATTGACAGGCAGTTGATAGAGCAGGAGAAAGTCAATGAAGGGACACACCAAAATCAGAGGGTGCGAGCACTAAGCCAGTGTCCTTTCTGATCGAGGCCAAGCTGAGTGTGGCTGGGCCTGAAAGGTGGGTCTCCCTGTACCTGATGTCCTTGTCCTTAAATCTGACCCCTTTGTGTTGCTGAAATCTTCCCTGACTTGCCCTTACTATTAGCTCTCTAGGCCATTGTATCTTCTCTGTGTATTCCCTAGTCATCAGTACAAGTATCTTTATTTGTCTCTTCAGTGATGGAAAGTTACTACATTTCAGAGCATAAAGTGTTAGATGATGCTTATGTGTGGCATCATCAGATATTCTTGCTTTCCTCCAGTGGTCCAAGCAGTAAATCTCCAAGTCAGCAAACACTTATTGAGCCTCAAGTATATACCATGTGCTAGCAATACCAGGATGCATAAACATGTTCCTTGCTTTTGGGAAACTGAGTTCAATAATTATAATATGGTGCCATGACAGAAGTATATGTCAGTAGAACAAGGCATAATAAAATTGAACATCATCATCATAATTAAGCAAAAAAAAAAAAAAAAAAAAAAACCTTTTAAGATCTGTTTTTATTTGAGTTAGCTAAGATGTTGGGAAGGAAAAAGAGCAGGGGCTTACGTAATTTACTTTGCTAAGACCATGGTAGATAAATATAACATATTGACCTCTTTTGTATCCCTAGAACCAGATGTGTCAGAAGATGCAAAAATCCCTCTCAGAGAAAGATCAGAAAAAGTAGAAGATATCCCAAAAGAATGTGAAAATATTCCCTCTTTGGTTGCATTTGAAAATGTCACAGCCAATGTGACTGACATCATGTTAATCTTGTTGGTGGAGAACATAAGTGGCCTGTTCAGTGAAGATTTTCAAGTGGAATTAATACGAGATTTTGAGGTTGCCATAGTTACCTTTCAAAAACATATAGGTAAGATTACGTGTCCTTTCATTTTCAGTCTTCTTTGCATCACATTTTTGGAATTTGGGACCCCATCTAATGGAATATCTTTGAAAGTCTGACTCTTTCTGGTAGCTAGTTAGAGGGGACTATAAGTTCATATAGGTGATCACACGCGGTGCAAAAAAAATGAGTGCTCTCTTCGGCCTGCGGTCCAGAGACACCCGGGTTCGGTTCCCGCTAAGGGCGCGTATACCTCAGTTGCAGTTTGTCCCCGGCCCTGGTTGGGTTGTGCGGGAGGCAGCCACTCGATGTGTCCTTTCACATCGATGTTTCTCTCTCTCTCCCTCCCTCCCACTCTATCTGAACAAAAAATGAAAGGGTGTCCTCAGGTAAGGATAAAAAAAAAAAAAAAAAAAAAAAACTGCTCTCTGAGGTCGGTGGGAGGAGTCTGTGGGCTGGCAGAGCTTTCTGCAGAAAAACAAGGACATTTTCCACTTCCAAGTCCTCACCATTCCATAGCAGTGGCAGTGGGCTGGTTAATTAAGAGCGCAGGTCATGAAGTCAAACTTCTAGCTTCACCACTTAACTAATTATCTGAGGTTGGCCAAGTTACTATTCTCTGTGTTCTTTACTTTCCTTACCTGTATAATGGGGATAATAATACCTACCTGGTAGAGTTTCTGTGAAGATTAAGTGAGAGAACGTTTGAAAAGCTCTTAACACAGTACTCGAGACATGGTAAGGACTCAATAAAGGGAGCTAGTAGTCTTATTTCAAATTGATGGTTATTTCTTATAAAGCTAGAACTAAATGGACTTGCTGTTGTTCATGGAGCAAAATTTTTGAACACCTACTGTGTGCACCTGTCTAGGTGCTGTGGGTACAGAGATGAATAATTCTTGGTTCTTGCTTCTGAGGAACTCCTATGGGGCAGGGAGGAAAGCCGTACATAAATGAACAATGAAGATGCAAGAGGAGAAGCTGCCTTCCTCGGCTATGGACAGCAGGCTATGGGGAGGAGAGGGGCTTTGCCCTGCCTACTCCCTTCTATGAAGCTTAGACTCCAGCAGAACCAGTCTGTCATGTCCCAAATATACCATGTTGTTTCATGCCACTGCTGTTCCCTCTGCCTGAAATGCGTCCTCCCCTTATCTGTCTGGGAAATTCTTTATTCTTCACAACTCAGATCGGTGACCACTTACTCTGGGAATCCTTGGATGAGTGCCAGTATTAGTCTTCCCACCTTATCTGATCCCACAGTAGACCACTCGCTTGCTTTCAAGACTTCCTCCCTCCTGGAAGATGAATGTTCAAGAACTTGTTATAGTCATCTCTCCCCATCTCACCCCCAGCTCTTAGCACAGTGCCTGACACATCATGGGCCCAACATCAGTATTTATTTACTTGAAAGAGATAATTGGGCTGAGTCCTGAAGGAGGAATAGGAGCAAGATAAAAAATCGGAGAAGGGCATTTCAGGCATGGGAAATCATATCTCCAAAGGCGAAAGAGAGTGGGTTTTTAAAATAATGACTAGTTTCTGTGGCAGTATGGAGAAGAAAATGAATGGCAGGGAACAACCAGAGGGGATGTTTGGACATTAATTTGGAGTCAAATAGCCAAGGACATAATGCCCCTCGCTAACGAGTGTGAACTCATGCCTGCAAGGTAGTGGGGAGCCATTGAAGGACTTAAGAAAGGGGTGAAACAGGAGATTTGTATGGTAGAGTGAGGACTCAGGTGGTTACGTCAAGGAGGGTTAGGGAGGGCTGTGAGCAGAGGTAGGGACACAGCGCGGTGCCAGTTATCCTGCTATGACATTCATACATGCATCATTGTTCAGAGACCTGGAATTCTAGGCATGTAAATTCTCTTTTAAAAATTAAAATCTTGCATCTAAAAATTGAGTGCTTAGCTCCCCCCTTTATCTCAATATTCAGACAGTTTCTTCTGTATAATGTAAAGGTGTAATTTTCTGATTGATTGATTTTGGTTTGTAGATACCAAGAAATTTGTTGAAGATTGTGCCATGCACCGTTCAGTGAAGCAGCTGCGGCTTTATCCAAGACTCCTGGAAGAGACAAAAGCCATCAGGGTGGAAAACCTGCCACCTGGTGTGGACTACTATAATTTGAAATGTTTCTTTGAAAATCCTCAAAATGGAGGGGGAAGACTTGTCAGCATTGAATGTTTTCCTGAAGAGAGTTCAGCTCTGATTGAATTTTTTGACAGAAAAGGTAATTATCTATTAGCCCGATTTTGTAAACCTTCCCTGGCATAATTTAAACTATGTTAGCAGATCTTATCAGTATAGCTAGCAATTGAATTCTCATAAATTTTATTTTTCATTCATAGACGTCATTGGTATTCCAAGTAGGAATCTTGTTCATCTGAGATATGATGCTTATTGTGTCTAGTGATTCAAACTTTGAAGAAGTAATGTCAAATTTTTGTAAAACTAAAAAAGATATAATTCTTAGAATCTTGGAAATACTGTATTTAAAAAGAGATGTTCTGTGTTTGAGCTGTATACTTGGTAGAAATTCTCGAGTTAATTTCAACAAGGTTAGGTAAAGAAATACTCAGAAACACATACAGTTCCTAGAAATGTCACTACTTCCTGTTCGCCTGTCAGGGTCATCATTCAGAAATTAATAGGGGTGATTTCACATGATTAGTGAATCCAGTGACCCTGTGAAAACCATGTCCAGAAGAACCTCAGGGTAACCCTTCTGAGGGTTTTGTAGACATAGATTGCCAGTTCTCTGAGGCAGATGCAAAGTCAGCTTGGAGATTCCACTGATGTTCAGAGGCCAAGGTTGAGGACTAGGGGACCAGACTTCTTAGGAAAAGAAGGAGCATTGTGCATGGGATTAACTGGGGGAGCATGAGACAGGGTCATGTGGTATGCCACCTACTTAAGATAAATTGATTCATGGGGTACTTAGAGGAACCTCCCTCCAGCTTTTATAAGTTGGAGAAAATGGGGTGGAGGTATAGTTAAGATTAAAATGGAATGAAAGACCTAGTGTTCCTTAGGCAAAGGAACAAAAGAGGAGTTTCTGTCGCATGTTCTCTAAGTCTCCCTGAGCCTGATCTTGACCCCAGGTAGAGAGCTACATAAAGCTGTCTACTCTAGAATTCAACTGCCAGCTAATGGTGGAAGTTGACAACTTTGGTGCCTTTGAACATCTTGAGGGCATGAGGCAGTTGGATGTGTCCTCAGAATGTCTAGTTACATGTGTACCACTAATAATAGGAATTATTTAATTGAGATTTATTTGATAACCGAGCTATACCTGTAAACAGTAGGGCCCTTTCAAAAGATCCGTTTCACCTGACCTCTTTGCACCATCTGACTATGTTGGCCGCACCTCCTCCTCTAACCTCACTCATTCCCTGTTCTCCAGGTCTGAGATACACTGACTTTCCCTTCTCTCTCTGGACATGTGCATAGCTCTGCAGGGTGCTACAAAGTGATTTATAGACATTGCTTTATAGGTATTGCTATTACTGTAATCGTAATCCTTATTTTACAAATGAAGAAACTGAGGTACAGAAAGGTCAAATCACTTGACCAAGGTTACATAGCTAGTAAGTGACAGAGGCAGGATTTGAACCTGGGTTGTCTGGCCCTATAATCTGTGCTCTTAAATTAGCCACTTTTCCCCAATCTCCTGTTCACCTATAACATTAATTTTTCTTGTGGGATATTTTTCTACTTATGATGGGTTACCAATAATGAGGCAAACTGTAGATAAGGATGGATTAAGAACAGAATTTATTTAGCAGTATTGTATTTTATGTAGATTATTTGAGAGAAATGTTAGGCACTTCACTCTGAAATTATTTGGTTTAACTTCACAAAGTCTTAAGGAAGGGATCTCTTATTAAACACCTACTGCATGTGAGATATTTTGCTGTTTTTCTGCTTATCACACTGAATCCCCATAATAACCTTCATGGTTAGATATAGTTACTCTTTCTTTATAGAAGAGGAAATGGGATGGAAAATTTAAGGCACATTAAGGTGACACCTTGGGTGGTTCTTGGGTCAGGTAGACCCAAGTTCAAATTCTGGCTTTGGTGCTTACTAGTTTTTTTATCTTGGGCACGTTATTTTAACCCACCAAATCCTCTGTTTTCTAATCTGTAAAACAGAGTTCCTGTTACTACTTCCCCCACAGGAACATTATGAGGATCAAGTGAAATTACACCTGTAAAGTGCTTGGCACATGGTGGGTACTCAGTTCATGTTAGTGGTCATTGGTACTGCCCAGGCTTGGAGCTTATACCAGACCACGTTGGGAAGTTGAAGCTATGTGTCTGGACCTCTGAAGGCCATGTTCTTTTTATTATGTCTGGCTCAAGGTCTAGGATCAATCATGCATAGGTGGAGTTATTTTTAACATCGTTTCACAAAGACACTATTTTAATCCAAGTTGTTACTGGAATTCAGTCTAATTCCCTTCCTTCTTTTTTTTTTTTTTTAAATTCCTTACTTGAGGATAATTTTCTATTTATCATCAGAAAGAATGGGAGGGAGGGGAGGGAGAGAGACAGAGAGAAACATCCATGTGATAGAGGAACATTGACTAGTTGCCTCCCACACAATCCAACCAAGGCCGGAGATGAACCACAACCAAGGTACGTACCCTTGACCAGAACTGAACCCGAGACTCATTGGTCCTTGGGCCCACGCTCTAACCGCTGAGCAAAACCAGCTAGGGCTAATTCCCTTCCTTCTTAGACATCTTGTATCTGTCTAATAACTACTACAAAATGAGAAGGGGTTTTGGGGAGAAGGGTATTCCCCCAACCACACACAGATGCACACTTATGCCATCTTAGGGACTGTCCCAGTAAAAGTGGCAGGAGGTGAATTGTAACAGGGATGGGGGAGGTGCTGGGCTTAACTGAATCAGTCCCTGGGCTGGGCCCTCTGATGACTTTGAGGATGACCTTGGTTTGGAATCCCTGGTAGAAGGGCAAGAGCATGGGCTTTGGGGTCAGACAGACACTGGTTTGAATCTTAGCTCAGATATTTACAGTCTACATGACCTTATTTGAGTTATCTAATATTTACCAGCTTGAGTTTTATCATTTGTAAATAGTGGTGATAATAATAGTGTCCGTAGCCCTGGTATGGCTTAATCATTAGAGAGCATTGGCCCATGTACCAAAGGCTCACAGGTTTGATTCCGGGTCAAGGGCATGTACCTGGGTTGCAGGGTCTATCCACAGCCCCAGTCAGGTGCATGTGGGAGGCAACCAATTGATGTGTCTCTCTCACATCTATGTTCCCTCTCTCTCCATCCCCCCCTCCCTTCCTTCTTTCCATTCTCTCTAAAAAATCAATGGAAAAAATGTTTTTGGGTGAGCATTAACCAAAAAAAGAAATGAAATAATAGTGTCTCTGCCTCAAAGGGTTGTCGTGAGGATTAAAATAATTAAACATATGTAAAGCACTTACAATAGTGGCTGACACATAGTAAGCTATGATAATTATTATTATGCTCCACCCCTTAGAAGCATTACTGGAATCTAAGACATTTCTAAAGCCTAGAATTGTGAGAAGTATAAGAAACAGCAAACGGCATGATTCTTAGACAAGCTTGGCTTTGGTCACCAAAATATTCTTTACACTGGGCAAACATTATCCCCATGCTTATGACCAAAGTCATATCTATCTCTGAGGCTGGTGGTGACATATCAGTGTTATCTGAAAATAGAATTTATGTAACAGAATTTCAACATAGAGTGATCTTGTTGAAAGTAATTATTCCATCGGATACCTATGCAGTGTTAACACATATCAACTTATCTTTGAGCACTTTGAGAGCAGAGCTGCTTTTTAATACTATGTCATAACATCAAAGTTCTACAAACATTAGCACTTTCTCTCCTCAAGGACAGGAAAGGTTTGTCTGTTTATTCTCATTTGAAACATATTATACTGGGATTACTACTTTATTTTATTTCTTTCCTTTTAAGTGTTAGACACCATCATGACCAAGAAACTGTACCTCAATAATATGCCGCTCTCTGTGTTCCCGTACTATACCTCTTTGGGCACAGCTTTGTATGGGAAGGAGCAGCCTTTGATCAAGCTTCCAGCACCATTTAAAGAATCTTTGGATCTTTTTTTATGGAAGTTCTTACACAAAAATAATCAGCTGATTGAGGAGATAAATGAAGAAGTGAGACGTTGTCACTGTGAGCTGACATGGTCCCAACTCAGTGGTGAAGTTACCATCAGACCTGCGGCCACTTTAGCCAGTCAAGGAAGACAAAAAATTAAGAACTGGAAGAAAGATGTGTCCACAGCATTCTCTGACATCAAGTCTAGATACAAAGTTACCCCATTTAAAGTGGAACCAATAGTATGGGACACTATAAAAAATGATTTGGAAGATGAAAGAATTTTGACTGAGTTTGATACACTTATGGGGATTGTAACCTTAGTGGGGAAATCAGAAGATGTACAGAGCGTTGAGCCACACGTCAAGGAATTAATAGAAAACACCATTCAAAAAATTAAAAGAGAAGAGCAAAGTCTGAAGGAAACAGTGACCATTTCTCCAAGCAAGTATTCTCTTTTGTGCCTCAGCGGTATGCAGGAGCAACTCCACAGGGAGTACCCAGAGGTGGAGATTCTGTATGACAAAGCCACTCAACACATGTGTTTTAAAGGACTCGATGTGGATGTGTATAAAGTAAAGTGTGAAATCCAGGAAAAGGTGTACACCATGGTTCAGACAAGCATTCCGCTTCCGCCTGAGGTTTTCCAGTTTTTGCAGCAGGTCGACTGTGCAGAATTCTCCAAGTCTCTTTTTATAGCACAGGGAATTCTTGCAGTTTATGAGCTAGAGGGTACAACTGTTCTCTTAACTGGCTGTTCTTCTGAAGTCCTATTAGAAGCTGGAAAGCACATGGCCAGTGCCCTAAGTTATAAGCGCATAGACATTGAGGACAGGGAAGTTCTTAACAGCAAGAAATGGAAAATGATCACTCGCAATTTGCCTAAGAAACATAACTCCTCCTCAAAGACTGTAATAATCAATGAGCTAACTTCAGAAACCACAGCTGAGGTCATTATTGCAGGCTATGTGAGAGAAGTAAATGAAATGTACAACTGCCTTTTTGACTTTGTGGAAAAAAACATGAAAATAGAGAGATTCATTGAAGTAAAGCCTCCCTTAGTTATTAATTATTTAAAGGCAGAGAAGAAGCTATTCTTGCACAAGATAAAGGCAAAGAAGCTAAATGTTCATGTAGATTTCAATCATGAGAAAAAAACAAAAGGCATTTTACTAATTGGCTCAAAGGCTGAAGTCCTGGAGGCTATGAACCTCCTCAAGCAAGCCAGGGATTCAGTTTGTATTAAAAGCATCTGTATTGATAAGCCAGGAGCCAGCCAGTTCTTCAAGGATAAAGAATGGTATTATAAACGTGAGGTGCGGTCGTTGGGTTGTTTTGTGGAACTACTGCAGAAAGCAGAGGAGGGAGGTGACACTGATGGGCAGACGTGCTCCTGTCGGACAGAGTTGGCCCCTGGAGTCTCGCTGATTGTACAGCAAGGTGACTTGACACAGTTTCCTGTCGAAGTGGTGGTGAACTCCGCAAACGAGGACCTCCGGCTCAGCGGGGGCCTGGCTGCTGCTCTTTCAAAAGCAGCTGGCCCTGAGCTCCAAGCAGACTGTGACCAGATAGTGAAGAAAAAGGGCAAGATCCCACCTGGCCATGCCACCATCTCGACATCAGGAAAGCTCCCATACCACCAGGTGATCCATGCAGTGGGACCCAAGTGGAAGAAAGAGGATGCCCAGGAGTGTGTGGTACAGTTAAAGAGAGTAGTGGCGAGAAGTCTCCATTTGGCTGAAAATCTCCAGTGCCGATCCATAGCCATCCCGGCCATTGGCTCTGGAAACTATGGCTTTCCCTTACCCCAGTGTGCAGAGGCCATTGTCTTGGCCATCAAGGAAACCTTCCAGTCTAACTGGAATGGAAACAGCTTGAAAGAAATTTACCTCGTGGATTCAGCTGAGAAGACTGTGGAGGCCTTTGCTGAAACTGTGAAAACTGTGTTTAGGAACACTGTGACTGATACTGCGTCCCCACCCAGTGTCCCAGCAGCAGTCCAGCCCAGCCTGGGGAAAGACGATGGAAACAGACGAATGATGCTGTGCCCGGGGGGCCTGAGGATCCTGCTGGTGAAAGGAGATGTGCAGAACGTTACAGTGAGTGTCCCCATTTATAGAACACCCGGCAAGGGGCTGTGGCTGCAGGGAGGCTGTTGCCAGAGGAAGATTAGGATCGAGGGGAGAATTAAGGGAGAGAATCCCATGCCCTCCATTCTGGCCTGGAAACTGGTTTCCTTAGAAAATTGGGATACTTCAGCTTGTCGTTTGCTGATAGAGATCCGCCGGTTATGTGTGGGAACACAAAGTGCATTCAGACCACTAGGTTCCCAGTAAATGTGAACATCCACAATAATAGCTTATGATTATAAGACTCCCTATACTGTCTTAGTGCCTTCACACCTGTCATATTTTGGCAAATCTAAGGTTAATTTCCTATCAAATTTACTGGTAGCAGATATAGAAAAATTAAGCATACATTGGGGACAGAAGACAGGAATTTTGTCAATGGAGCTGAACCAGATCGAGCAGGGAGGCCTGAGGGGACCCTCAGCACCCAACACCAGTATGAAAATATGGGAAGGAAGTAGACTGAACCTGGGAAGGGTCTGGGTGTCATGTGGGGATAATTCTTGAAGGTCTGCCAGGGGGGTGACGTGTTTTTTAAAAACATATTTAACAACATTTTCAACATAGGTTTTAATTAATGGAAACAGCCCTGGAAGCCCCTGCTGTGCCGATGTTACCTCCTTACTTGGGGGATTGTGTGCAGGCCTGGAAGGGATCCCTAGGGAAGGCCACTGCCTATCTTCTTTGGAGAAATGTCTATTCAGATCCTTTGCCCACTTTTAAATTGAGTTGTCTTTTTATTACTGAATTGAAAGTTCATTATATATTTTGGATACAGGTCCCTTACCAGATGTATGAATTGCAAATATTTTTTCCCATTCTGTGGGTCATCTTCCTTATATGCATAAGGAGTAATTGCTGGCACCAATTATTTAGGATGTGCCAGGCACCATGCTAAGTGCTTGGCTTGCATTTTCTCATTCAATGCCATGAAGCAGATTCCAGGATTATTTTTCTTCTCAAACAGATGAAAGAATGAAACTTAGAGGGGTTAAGTAATTTGCCCAACTCCCAGAGCTCACAAATGGGCGAGCCAGGATTGGAATTTGTTCGGGCACTATTTCAGAAATACTAAAAATAATTGTGTTTCTCGTTTAAAAAACCAAACAAATAAACAAGACACCCTTTTGACCACGAATCAGTAACTGGAATGAGTTCCATTCCTCGTCCATCTTGAACCCTGAATAGTCAGACATTCCTTTCATTTGTATGCTTCATAGATGCTTGGCTTTTGATGCCACAGTACCTGCCCCGTGTTGCTTCTCCATGACCCACGCAGGGCAGCTTTGAAAATGACTTGGTCGCCCTGGCCGGTTTGGCTCAGCGGTTAAGAGCGTCAGCCCGCAGACCAGGGGGTACCGAGTTTGGTTCCTGCTAAGGGCACGTACCTCGGTTACAGTTTGTCCCCGGCCCTGGTTGGGGTCGTGTGGGTGGCAGCCACTCGATGTGTCTCTCTCACATCGATGTTTCTTTCTCTCTCTTTCTCCCTCTCTCCCTCCTGCTCTATCTAAAGATAAATGGAAAAAAAAAAAGGTCCTCGGGTGAGGATAAAAAAAAAAAGACTTGGTCACATTCTTTCTCCTCTCTTCTCTTGGTGTTCTAATCTAGCCAATTAATCTGCTTTCATTAACTGTCCTGCTGAAAAGCTTCCATGCTCCTCTCTGTCAGTAAGTCCAGTTGGCCTGGCACTTGAGATCCTCTGCCGTCTACCCCCAGTATAACATTTCCATCCTGGCTTGTACCATTTTGCTGCAGATGCTATCAGGTCAAACTAATCTGCTCATGCTCACCACCTACCATGAGTATGTTCCCCCTTCCCTGCCTCTCCCTGCCTGCTGCAACTATTCCATTTCTAAGACTCCACATCACTTATGATGTCTTTACTGTGTGCACAAGTCCTCTGGCCGCCTTCAGTGATCCCATACTATTCATACATTGATTTTTTTATCCTTACCCGAGGATATTTTTCCATTTTTTGTACAGATAGAGTGGGAGGGGGAGAGAGGAAGGGAGAGAGAGAGAGAAACATCGACATGAAGGGACACATCGAGTGGCTGCCACCCACACGACCAACCAGGGCCGGGGACAAACTGCAACCAAAGTACGTGCCCTTAGCGGGAACCGAACCCGGGTCTCTCCGGACCGCAGGCCAATGCTCTAACCGCTGAGCCAAACTGGCCAGGGCATACATTGATTTTTGACAGCTCTTTTTTTGTCCTGGAATGTAATTTAAATAAGGATCTAATGATACTTTGTCTTGGGTGGTATTTGAGTCTCTGAAAACTTAGTCATCTTAGTTGTCCTCCATCGTGGCAAGTCCAGTGTTTCAAATATAGTGAATGTTTTTGTTAGAAGTTGAAACAAATTGTTGGTTTTGTCTTTAAGACCGATGTTGTTGTCAACTCCATTCCTTCGGATCTTGGCCTCGATAGTGGGCCCCTTTCTCAGGCCCTCTTGAAAAAAGCTGGGCCAAATCTCCAGAAGGAATTAGACATAGCTGGACAAAAGACAACTGTTGACGTGGGCACGATTCTTCAAACCAGTGGATGTAATCTGCAATGCCAGCGAGTGCTGCACGTGGTGGTTCCGGGCTGGAATAATGGCAACCCATCTTCACACAAGGTGGGGCCTGGTTTTAAATTCTCGGGGAAATTGGGTACCCCCCGGACTCCTTTCAGTATAATGTAGATTGCACCCTGTTTCTCTTCTGTAATAACAACATTCTTGGCAGGTTCCATCATTATGGCCTTTTTTTCCAGGGGTAGCTGCCTTCTCCTGAGACTAGTTAATGATATACATTGATTATGGTGCTCAGTCATTGTTGGGGCTTGGGGAAGAGTTACTGAAGACAGCACATTTTTAGCAAGGAAGGCAAAGTGAGGGCTTGGAGAATGGAAGAGCATGAGGGATTAGAACACTAGTTGCTTTGCTTCTTTCTTTCATTGCTGAGTGCGTTTGAAAAAGGGTTTCTCACGTTCTCTTTTCCTTTTCCTGTATTTTTCTTCCCCCTTCTGACTGCCCTTAGCCTGCCTTCTGTTGAAAGCAAAAAGGAGTAGACAGAGATCACAAAGTTGCTAAATTCTTTTTTTTTTTCCCCCTAACTTCCATTTCTAGGCAAAATGTATAAGTATGTGCTTTGTACTTTTCAGATCATGGAAGACATAATCAGAGAATGTTTGGAAATCACTGAGAGCTTGTCCTTAAAATCAATTACGTTTCCAGCCATAGGAACAGGCAACTTGGGGTTTCCTAAAAACGTTTTTGCTGACTTAATTATTTCAGAAGTGTTCAAATTTAGTTGCAACAATCTACCAACAGCTTTGCAAGACGTGTGCCTCCTGCTGCACCCGAGTGATCAAAGGAATATTCAGGTATAGCCTCACTCATTTCTGGTTATTTTGGCAACTGAGCCATAATGGTACCCCATGTCTTCTTGGTCTAGTAGGTTGTTGCTTTCCTGTATTTCCCATCCAGGAAAGTAAAAGAGCAGTGTAGACTAGTAGTAGCATGGCACATTTCAAGCGAATGTATGGATGTAGAAAAAAATTAATTTCTTTTTTAGGAAAATTTCAAACATGTACAAATGTAAACAAAACAGTATAATAAACTCCCTTATGCCCATCATTCAGCTTCACAATTATCAACCTGTGGCTAATATGTTTTATCTCTGTCTCTGTTTATTTCCCATATTATTATTTATTTATTTATTTTTAATCCTCATCGAAGGATATGTTTTTTCTTCATAATGTTTATTTATTTTTATTACAGATAGTTCTCCTTTTTTCCCCCAAGGAGGATATGTTTTCATTAATTTTTTTTTTTTTTTTTTTGAGAGAGAAAGAGGAAGGGGGAGAGAGAGGGAGAGAGAGAGATGTGAGAGAGAAACATTGATTGGCTGCCGCTAGCACACGCCCCTACCGGGAATCGAACCCGAAACCTAGGTATGTGCCCTACTGGGAAATGAACCCACAACTTTTTGGTGTATGGGACAATGCTCCCACCAACTCAGCCACTCAGCCAGGGCCCCATATTACTTTGAAGTTAATCCCAGATATACATTTTACCCATAAACAATTCAGTATTTATTTTAGACACTGGAATTCTTTTTTTTTTTTTTTTTTTTTTAATCCTCACCCGAGGATACCTTTCCATTTTTTGTACAGATAGAGTGGGAGGGAGAGAGAGGAAGGGAGAGAGAGAGAAACATCGACATGAAGGGACACATCGAGTGGCTGCCACCCGCATGACCAACCAGGGCCGGGGACAAACTGCAACCGAAGTACGTGCCCTTAGCGGGAACCGAACCCGGGTCTCTCCGGACCGCAGGCCGACGCTCTAACCGCTGAGCCAAACTGGCCAGGGCCTGGAATTCTTTTTTAAAAGTAACAACACCACAATACTATTTCACACATAGAAGAAATGGACAGTCATTCCTTTATCTCATCAATTATCAAGTCAGTATTCAAATTTCCAACTCATAAATGTTTTGTTTTTACAGCTTGTTATTTGAAACAGAATCCAAATAAGGCCCATATATTGCAATGGAGTTGACATGTCCCCTTAACCCTTATTTATTTATTTATGTTAATCCTCACCTGAGGATATTTTTTTCATTGATTTTCAGATAGAGTGGGAGGGAAAGAGAGAGAAAGAGAAACATCGATCTGAGGGAGACACACTGATTAGTTGCCTCTCGCACCACCCCAACCAGGGCCAGGGATTGAACCGCAACTGAGGTACGTGCGGTTTGACCGGAATCCAAACCGCAACTCTTTGATCTGCGGGCGGATGCTCTAACCGCTGAGCCAAACCGCCCAGGGCTTAACGTTGTATTTTTAACAACTGGCAAGTTTTTTGCTCTTTTTGATTATGAAGGTAATACATATTCATTGTAGAAATTTTGAACAATACAAAATGCATAAATTCTTTTAGTTGTATTTCATTCTAGTCACCTTCTATGCATGTGTATTTTGTAAAGGGTGTCATAATAATATAATTAAAGTTATTCTTTCGTTTAATAGTATACAGTGAGTATCCCTTCTTCCATTAACTACTCTTTGAAAATGCAATTCTTAATGGCTGCTAAATATTTTATGTGGATATACTAAAATTTATTTAGCCATTTCCCTATTGGATATTTAAATGTTTTATTTTTTCTTGATTTTAATAAATGGCACTGTAATGAATATTTTTGTATTTATATTTTTGTCTCCATCTTTGATAATTCTCATGGGATGCATTTGTAGAAATATTATATGTATTTTCATAAATTTAAAATTCTATAATGATAATAAGCTATACTTTGAGAATTGTTCTCTTCTAAATAATTGTGCATGCTGGATCAAAAGCTGTGATGAATCACATTCATTTATCTATTGAGGACTGTAGTAGTCAGAACTGTCTTTGTGTTTTCAGGCATTTTCAGATGAATTTGATAGAAGGGCTAATGAACATTTCGTCAGTGACAAAATTCCCAAGGCTGAGAATACACAAGGTTCAGTAAATATATATTTTCATGTTCTTTAATCTTTTTTGTTGTTGTTCTTTTTTGTTTGTTTCTTTTGGGGTTCAGAAAAGCTTTTAAATTGAGAAATTAGTTCTAGTTTCTAAATAACTATTTAATGATAAGTGGGAGATGGTAGTAATGATTTTTATGAAAAAATCAATTTGTGATAAAGAAGATACTAAATTATATTCCATAAACCTGAGTATGCAAGAAACTGGCCATATTTCTGTGGTCTGGAGCGGAAGAATAAGCAGGCCGAGTTAGATAATCTGTACAGTGGGTTTTTAAGTAGGGAAAAGGCTACTATTTTCTAAGGATGATGTGACATATGTTTTTGGAAATAGACATTTAAAGAGACAGTACCAACCAAATGCTTCTTATCTGTCAAATTTTCTGTTACATATTTGACTTTATTCTATTTGGAGTTTGCCGAAGCTTCTTAAATCTGAATATGTGTGTATTCCATCAAATTTGGGAATTTTTCAGTTATTTCTTCAAACATTTTTCTTGCACTGGTCTCTGTCTCCTCTCCTTCTGGTGCTCTAGTAATATGAACGCTAGGCCTTTTGATAATGTCCTAACAGTCCCTAAGGATCTAGTCTTTTTTTTTTCCTTTTAATCTTTTTCTCTCTGTTCTTCAGATTGGATAATTTTATTGATCTACCTCCAAGTTCAAAGACTAATTTCTCTCTCTACTACACTATTGAGCCTATCCAGTAAATTTTAAAATGTCAGATATTGTATTTTTAAGTTCTAAAGTTTCCATTTGGTTCTTTTTGTTGTTGTTGTTAATTCTCACCTGAGGATATTTGTCCCATTGATTTTTTTTTTAGAGAGAACAGAAGGGAGGGAGGAAGGTGAGGAAGAGAGAAAGAGAAACATCAATGTGAGAGAGACACATGGATTGGTTGTCTCCTATACTCGCCCCAACCAGGGTTATGGATCAAACCTGCAACCCAGGTATGTGCCCTTGACTGGGAATCAAACCTGAAACCCTTCCATCCATGGACTAATGCTCTAACCACTGAGCAAGTCCAACCAGGGCTCCATTTGATTTTTTTTAAATATATGTTTTTATTGATTTCTTTAGAGAGAGGGCGGGAGAGAGAGATAGAAACACTGATGTGAGAGAGAAGCATTGATCAGCTGCCTCCTGCACGCCCTGCACCGAGGATCAAGCCTGCAACCTGGGCATGTGCCCTGACTGGTGGGAGTCAAACTGAGACTTCTCAGTCAAGGGGACAATGCTCAATCCACTGAGCCCCACTGGCCGGCTGTTTGATTCTTATTTTATAATTTATATTTCTCTGCAGAGACTCCATTCATTCCAAATCATTTCCATTCATTCAGATACGTTTACTTTGACCTCAGGGAGCATATTTGTAGTAGATACTTTAAAGTCTTTGTTTGATAATTCCAACAGCTGGATCATCTTCAGATTAGCATCTATAGTGAGTATCTTTATCCTTGAGAGCTGCTCACATTTTCTTGGTTCTTTATGTGACAAGCAGTTTTGGATTATAGGCTGGTTATTTTAATTATGTTGTGAAACTTGGGTCTTGTTAAAATCCTCTGGAAAATGGTGATAGTTTGTTTTAGCAGGCAGTCAATCAGTTAACCTGTTAACCGAGCGGGACGTATAAATACGTCAAACGTTGCATACAGTAAAAAGGGAATTCCCCGGTTAACAGGTTAAGTTCATTCTAAAAATTCTGTCTCACTTTCTGGGTGGGCAGAGGTTCCAATGTCACTTCAGCTCCCAGGCGTGCAGCTCCGGGGCGGGCTCAGGATTTATTCCAGTTCATCCCAGAACAGGGGACCACCCTCTCCACTCTCCCCTCCAGGACTCCCCTCACACTCTCTGGCTTGCAGGAGCCCATTTTCCAGGCCTCTCACCAGAGAGACAATGTTCTCTTGGAGTTTAAGCTGCCTGTTTTGTTGCCTTATAACTGCATGATTGACCGGGGTTGCCCTTGGGCAAAGTGAAGAAAATAAAGAGAGAGAGAAAAAAACAGGGATTTCTCACATACCCATATACACTTTTCAGACCACAAGGGCCCCTTTTCCTGATTCTTCTGTCTGGAACTAGAGATTGTCTCTCAGAGTTTTAGCTCTCTGTGGTGCCATATGGAGTTCTGCACCTGGGATCACTTTGGAGGTAGGGCCTAGATTGAAAAAGAATAAATATGGACAATATGGAAGATCTCTGCCGTACTCTGCAGCTCATGGGGTCCCCTTTTGTCAGTTCTCTGGCCACAAGAAAGGGGCCTCTGAGAGTTTTGCTCCCGTGCTCGTCGTGCAGTTCCTCAGCGAGGGCCACCCTTGGGCCAGAGCTGGGAGAGAAAAGAGGAAACATGTCAAAACAAAACTCCCCTCTGTACAGGCTGCCTCTACAGGTTTTGACTCCCCTCCTGGATCTGCCTGCTGTTATTGACTTTTCAGTCCTCAGTTGGTGGATTTTGTAGTTATCCCATGTTTTAGTTGTCATCAGTGGGAGAGAGGCTCTCGTGGCTGACTTCACCTTGGCCAGCTCCAGAAGTCCACATTTGATAGTATTATATTTTATAATTCTTTTTCAGAAATAGTCCATCCTTGGGGCTAAGAGTCTGAAGTAGGTTAAAGGCCAGAAATTGGGGGCTTGGAGTAGAGAGGAAGAGAAGTATGGGAGGGGCACATGTGAGGAGCATGAAACCTAAGTCATTCTTACCATTGTTGACTTGATTATTGACTCCATTTTTTTTCTTTTTCTTTTCAGTTTTATATGGGACTGTTACCAATCCTAGTTCAGGAGTGCATGAAATGAAAATTGGCCCCATCACCTTCCAGGTGGCCTCTGGAGATATTGCTAAAGAAGAGGCAGATGTGATTGTAAATTCAACATCAAAGACATTTAATCTCAAAGCAGGTACTTCACCTGTAGGATTTTTACGAGTGTAATGGTCATAGTAGATCCCATGAAAGAGCACTCCTATAGCCAAACTGTTCTACAGTTACTATAGCCAAACTGGTTTCCACTATTATGACTTATTAATATTAATGAATAATTTAAAAATTATTTTGACATGGTTTCTTATCACTGGTAACAGTTATTTTATGAATATTTCTTCTTTGTGATCAGAAATACCCAGATTATAGGATTCCTTTATAGTATGATGGGGAATGCATTTAGATGATGAGGCAATCATTCCGATCCAAATATATTGTACTGATTTTTTATTCACATTTGTAACCTTGTTGATGTTCTCATGCAGGGGTCTCCAAAGCAATTTTGGAGCAAGCTGGACAAGATGTGGAGGTAGAATGTTGTAACTTAGGTAAGGCACAATGCTGTTTTTATGGTCTTAAATTGTAAGTGGAAGGCTGAATATGGGGGGCTGTGGGGAGGCTGAGATTGGGAAGACAACATATTAATCTTATAATCACACATTTTACTAAAGAATTTCACTCACAGAGAATTAGAAATGAAAAGACGTGAAAAGTGAAATTTTGGTTAAAATAGAAAGTAAGCAAGAAAGAAAGTATTTTGGTAGGTAGAATTTTAGGAGTCTTTAATTCACATAAAATACTTTATTTGCCAAACCAGACATTTTGATTTCACAACCAGAAAGTGGGTTTAGCATTTGATTTTGCATCTTTTTGTTTTGTGTATCTTAGCTCAACAGGGCAACAATAGTTATATAATTACTAAAGGTGGATTACTGAAGTGCAAGAATATTATTCATGTCATCGGTGGAAATAATGTCAAGAATTCGGTTACCTGTGTTTTGCAAGAGTGTGAAAACCGGAATTACTCAACCATTTGCCTCCCAGCCATTGGGACAGGTTTGTAGCCTCTCAAGGCTAAAGCCCTCGGTGCCCCATTCCCTCTGATTTCCTGCTGACTTGAATGTCGTTCATACTGAGTCTGAGTAAGGGCAGCTTCCTCATTCCAAGGCAGTCACTGAGGGAGAGAGCAAGGCCTGTGGTAGTTTAAGAAAAAGAGGAAAAACTGAAGAAAACCGAAGAAAATGTTGGAATATTAGAGAGAAATTTGCTTTCTAATATGGAGGGGAAGGGAGATCAGAGAGGGGAAGGTAAGTGGGCAAAGAGATAGAAAAACCATCCCTCTTTCTCTTTTCATCTGTTCTTTTCGCTTTTTTCCATCTCCTACATAACCCCTATTAGTTAGGCCTTAACTTTCCCCTCCATCCGCTCTCTGTGGAGGACGTCAGTGCATCGACTTCCACCTCTCCGTAACTAACTCCCAGATGAATGTTCCAGGCCCTTCTCTCACCTCTTGAGCAGTGGCTGTGTTGGTTGGCCTAGGGCAAATCTGCACAGAAACCTTTCAATTATCATAACCCAGTGGGTTCCAATGGGTCTGAAACGCAAGCCACCTTTCTTTTCTCAGCCTACTTGCCTTTTTCAAATTTCCTGTTTTCCTCAAACTATATAATGATTGTGTGATTGAGTCTTCTTATATAAAGATGTGCTTTGGGTTTATCATTAGTAAGGTGATGCCCTTTGAGCTCTTTTCCCAGGAATCGGAGTCATGTGCATTGATCAGGAATTTTTGCTTGGTCTCTCTTAGGAGAGCTGGTCAGGGGAGGCAAATACCCTTAGGCTTGAAGTGGAATGGAGCTGACCAGTTCCAGAGAGAATGCTAGGCACTGGATTGATCATTCCATTGCTCAAGAATCTAAGTTTGAATGTCTGCACTGGAATGCTAGGCCCTTCAGAAGTTTAGCTTCAATAAACTTACCTATCCTTGTCCCTTCCTGGGCCTTCTTCTAATCCTGTGTCCCACATTTTTATTTGTGCCATTCTCTACTATACCTCTTAATGTTCCCACATGGAATGCTATGTGTACTTTATTACTTTCCTGTTTCTCAAAGTATAGTTTATAGCCCCTTTATGTTTTCATGCCCCTGTAGTATCATCCAATCCTAGCAGATCAGCCAACGTGTTATCTGTTTGTCTGTCTATCTATCCATCCATCCATCCATCCATCCATCCATCTATGTACTTGGCATCTTTTATGGACACCCACTAATAATCTCCAGTCTTTATCTCCATTTGCTTTTTCCTCTTTGTTCTGGTCTTGTGTTTCTGTCTTACCTTTATTTGGGCCAAGAAAGCAGGCAGCCCAAGATTGGCATAAACCTTCCCAAGGGAGTGCCTGGGTGGAGACAAAGAAGAAACAAGGAAAGGAAACAGTTTTAGTTTTCTATAAATATGTGCACGTGTTTGAGTATTTCTGGGTTACTGCAAACCTTTTGTTTCTTCCAATGACCAGGTGGCATGCGGTCCTGCACAATCAGCAGGTTCTCCTTGCTTGTCTTCTTTACCTATCTCTAGTCCACTCCAGCTGGTCCTTAGACTAATGCATGGAGAAGCTTTCTCTCTTAGTGGTGTTTATCAGTTGAGTTTGTCTGGGAGGGATCAAGACAGCTTCTGGCAGTAAAGGAAGCCCTCGACCTGTTACCTATAGATACCCACCCTCAGTGAGAATGGCTGGTCAGTAATACCTGCAGCACCTCAAGCTCAGTGTAAACTCCAAAGTCCAATTCACTGTCTTCTCCCCCAAACCTTGCCTTCCTGTTACATACCCAATTATGTTAAAAGAATCACTTTTTTTAAAAAATCCTTCACTCAAGGATATTTTTCTACTTACTATCAGATAGAGTGGAAGGAAGGAGAGAAAGAGACAGAGAGAAACATTGATGTGATAGAGACACATCTAGTGGCTGCCACCCACACGACCTCAACCGGAACTGGGGACAAACTGCAACTGAGGTACGTGCCCTTAGTGGGAACTGAACCTGGGACTCTCCGGTCCACAGGCTAATGCTCTCTAACTGCTGAGTCAAACCGGCCAGGGCTTAAAAGCATCACTTTTTATCTAGAATCATTAACTCTACCCTCTTTATCACTCCCATGTTCACTGCCTTATTAATTAGTTTGATTAAATGTTTTCTGAATGCCTATCATGTGCCAGGCACTGTGCTGAGGCACGGGGGTAGAAAGATGACTAAAAAAAGGATCCAGTCCACAAGGAGCAGCTAACCTATGGGGAGAGACAGACCTGTAAACAAACAACCGCAATACAGCTTGCCCACGATATACACATAAAGGTGTGTGGGTGGCAGAAGAGGGGGAACTAAAGGTCAAATATACATGCAGTTGGTCTCTGGGTCCTCTTGACTTTACTTCCTAAACGTTTCCTACCTCCCTACACTCATGGCTTTATTCTGGTCCCCTCTTTGTTCAGCTCTTGTCTTTGCCTAGACTTTTATTACAGCCTGCTATCTAGAACTGGATTCTCTGCTCCAGTGCCTCCTATACCACCCCCACCCCAATCCCAGACTTATTTTTCTCAAAAACAGATTTATTTTACTGAACACACCAGGTTGAGGTTGAACATATCACACCCCTGTTACATAGTTCTAGGCTTTCTCTCATTTTTCCATACTTCACCTATTGAATACCATTCATCCTATGTTATCATATCCTTTGTGTCTAAGCACCTCGATGAGCATCCAGCTTGTGATGGGACACAGTAAATGTTTATTGAAAGTGAGTGACTGTATCTGAACACCCCTATTTAAATTCTTCCAAATATCATAAGATAACTACAGCTTTGCAAAGGAGAATTTTCCTGCTCATCTAATTAAAAACCAAAACCAAAACAAACAAAAAACCTGAATAAACCTTCCTGGTTAGTTTTATATGGGGTTTGTCTACGTTCCCACAATTGTCTACATAGCCAAGTCAAAGAGGTCTTATTTCTGCAGTAATGTGGGCACCATCAGTGGGGATAATCCAAGTGGGCCCTTAGTCTAGCACACCAGGTTGGTCAGGGAACTTTTACATTGTTACACCCCTCCCACACACACCCATGTGACAGCTGCTGTTCATGTGTACTTTACATGTGACTACTTCCATGGTTTTTCATGAGACTTTTCAAGGAACTTTCCATGATCTTACCTAGGCAGTAAGCTAGAAAAACAAGGTATGGAGCCTGCTTAATTAGGAGAACTGCTCAGGTGGCAACCTTGAATACTGCTAGTCAGCTAAAATCTCACCAAGTATGGGAAGAAAGACTTCTTGAAGGCTCATGGATAACTTGCATACAAAACGTATAGATGATAACAAATAGCTTAGCTTAGAGCTCCAGATGTTACCCAAATTACCTTAGCATAAGTCAAGTCCCCAAAGACATCTGGGAAAATAAGGATACATGCATAAAGTCAAGTGGTGATTGAGAAAAAAAAATGGTTGTCACCCTGGCTTAGAGTGTTGGCCTGTGGACTGGAGTGTCGTGGGTTTGATTCCCGGTCAAGGGCACGTACCTCAGTTGCAAGTTCAATCCCTGGCCCTAGTCAGGGTCATGCAGGAGCAACCACTGGATATGTCTCTCTCACATCAATGTTTCTCTCTACCTCCCTCCCTCCCTTCCACTCTATCTAAAAATCAATGGAAAAATATCCTTGGGTGAGGATTAACAACAATAACAAAAATGTGTTTGCTGATGCATTGTTAGAAAAGTCCACAGAGATGGAAATTTTGGGGAGTGTGGATTCATTCTGTGAGAATTGGAATCCCTAGTTTATTCTTCAGCCTTTTCCAATTGGGTCTTTTTTTTTCTAGTCATTTTTATTTGCTTTTCTAGGAAGTGCTAAACAAGACCCAGATAAAGTTGCTGGAGACATAATTGATGCCATTGAAGACTTTGTCCAGAAAGGATCAGTTAAGACTGTGAAAAAAGTTAAAGTTGTAATCTTTCTGCCTCAAGTCCTGGATGTGTTCTGTGCCAACATGAAAAAAAGAGAAGGCTCTCAACCTTCTACTTCACAGTCTGTGATATCTAAAATTGCATGTGAGTTGTTGATTTTTATAAAATGCATATTCCTAATACTGATGTCACATGAAAAATAACTAAAATTCTAAATTATTTTTAGAATTTGACATACATGTGAGGTATAATTGACATACATCACTATAAATGTAAGGTGTACAGCATAATGGTTTGAGATACATGTATTATGCAATATGTTTAGTTAGCATCCATCATCTCATGCAGTTACAATTAAAAAAGAAAGCAAAAAAAGAATTTCCCTTGTGATGAGAACTCTTAGAATTAACAGCTTTCATGTAGATCATACAGCTGTGTTAAATATAATAGTCATGCTGTACATTATATCGCTAGTACTTATTTATATTGTAACTAGAAGTTTGTACCTTTGACCACCCTTCCCCAAACCCACCTCTGGTGACCACAAATTCTATCTCTTTTTCTATGAGTTTGGGTTGTTTGTTGTTGTTTTTTAAGATTCCAGATGTAAGTGAGATCTTATGGTATTTGTCTTTTTCTGTCTGACTTGAAAAGGCTAATTTTAATGAACTATCAGAAAGAAAAATTAAGATAACAATTACATTTACAATTGCATCAAAAAGAATAAAATACTTAGGAATAAATTTAACCAAGGAGATGAAAGTTATAAGACACTGATGAAAGAAATTGAAGAAGACACAAATAAATGGAAAGAGAGTCTGTGCTCATGTATTGGAAGAATTAACATTGTCAAACTATCCATTCTTCCTAAGGCACTCTACAAATTCAGTGCAATCCCTATCAAAATTCCAATGGAATTTTCTCAGAAATAGAACAAACAAACCTAAAATTTGTATGGAACCGCAGAAGACCCCAAGTAGCCAAAGTAGTTTTGAGAAAGACTAACAGAGGTGGAAGCATCACAATTCCTGATTTCAAAGTATATTACAAAAATATAATAAACAAAACAGTATGATATTGGTATAAAAACAGACACATAGATCAATGGAAGAGAATAGAGAACCCAGAAATAAACCTATGCATATATGGTCAATTAATTTACAACAAAGGAGTCAAGAATATACAATGGGGAAAGGATAGTCTCTTTAATAAATAGTGTTGGGCGCTTACTGCGATAGCACATATACTAAAATAAGTGGTTTTGGGAAAACTAGACAGCCATGCAAAAGAAACTGGCCACTATCTTACACCATACACACAAACCCACTCAAAATAGATTAAAGACTTGAATGTAAGATCTGAAACCATAAAATTTTGAAAAGAAATCATAGAGGGTAATCTTCTCAACATCAGTCTTGGCAACAATTTTTGGATTTGACATCAAAGACACAAACAGCAAAAGCAAAAATAAGCAGTGGTAATATGTCCGACAAAAAAGTTTCTGTACAGCAAAGGGAACCATCAACAAAATGAAAAGACAATCTATTGAATGGGAGAAAATATTTACAAATGATGTACCTGACAAGAGGTTAATATAAAAATATTTAAGGAAATCCTACAACTCAATAGAAAAAAGAACAGTCCAATTTAAAAATGGGCAGAGGATATGAATAGACATTTTTTTCCAAAGAAGTCATACAGATGGCCAACAGGTACATGAAAAGGCGGTCAACATCACTAATCATCAGGGAAATGCAAATCAAAACAATAATGAGATACCACCTCACACCTGTTAGAACACTATTATGTAAAAGACAAGAAATGGGCGTTGAAAAAATGTGAAGAAAAGGGAACCCTTGTGCACTGTTGGTGTAGCCACTGTGAAAAACAGTATGGAAGTTCCTCATAAAATTAAAAATAGAACAACTACATGATCCAGCAATTTCATTTCTGGGTATTTATCTGAAGGAAATGAAATCATTATCTCGAAAAGATATCTGCTTCACCATGTTCATTATAGCATTATTTACACAGCCAACACATGGAAACAACCTACTGTCCATCATCAAATGAACAGGCAAAAAAGACGTGGTATGTACAGGGTAGAGCAAAAGTAGGTTTATAGTTGTAAGTACATGAATCAGTTTATTCCTGGTTCATTAGTTATTAATTATTGTATTATTTTCCATATGAACAACTATAAATCTACTTTTGCCCCACCCTGTATATATGATGGAATATTATTCAGTCATAAAAAAGGAAATCCTACCATTTGCAACAACATGGATGAACCTTGAGGGCACTATGCTAAATGAACTAAGTTAGAGAAAGACAAATAATTATGACATATCTAATATGTAGAATATATATTTTAAAAAAACCAAAATAAACTGAATTCATGGATACAGAGAACAGATTGGTGGTTGCCAGAGATGGGGTAGTAGGAGGTGGGTAAAATGAGTGAAAGTGGTCAAAAGGTACACATTTTCAATTATAAGATAAATAAATCATGGGGATGTGGTGTATACCATGATGACTGGAAAAGAAAATGTAAAAAAAGAAGGGAGGGAAGGAGGAAGAAGGAAGCAAGGGAGAAATAGCTTATAGCTAAACCTTTTTTTTTTGCTTTTTCAATCCAAAAACAATTGTTATATTCTCTTTTGTGTCTCTCTCTCTTAGCATTTTTTGGGTTATCAAAGCCATCTCCCAAAAAACAAATGGTTTTGATTTTGGAAAAGAAAACAGAATCAGCAATTTTTCAGGTGTGTGGTGAAAACGAAAAATGTTTGGAAAACGCCCTCTCCTGGTTACAGAATCTGATCATAAAGGAACAGAATCTTTACATCAGTGAAGATGAATGTATCAAAGACTTTGATGAAAAGGAATGTCAAGAATTGACTAAGCTGCAGAAGGAATTGAATATTTCCCTGATCTTAGACCGTCAAAAACCTTTGATTAAGATTTCAGGAATGAGCAGAGATGTGGAACAGGCTAGAAATGCAGTTGAGGAAATGCTTAAGACAGTGAGATTAGCCAAAGAGCAGGAGTCCAAAGCGGAATACATCAGTGACTTCATAGAATGGCAATATAATGACAATAACGCTTTTCATAATTTTGACAAAATAACCAATCTGCAATTGGAGGAGGCCAAAAAAAACCAGAGACAAACACTTGATGTCAAAATCAATAATCAGAGCTACACAGTGGACTTGAAAACATACACTGCTACAGATGCAAACAGACACAGTTTACCTGTTCGGCGCATCATGAAATCTGAAGGTGAGTCAAACTTTCATACTTGTTATCCATTATTTTACACTTACTTTGGCTTCTGTACTTACATCAAAATTTGTATTCAAGTAGATAAAATTCAAGTAACTCTGAAGGAATAGGATAGGAAACTTGGTCTCTGAGCCAAAGGAGCTTAGATTATGGTCAGGAAAATACAGCACGAATGTGCTCAGCATCTGAGGATGACCATCTCAGTGGTAGCACTAGCCAAACCTTGCATTTTTACAGTTTACAAGCTTCCCAGAGCCAGTTCTTCTGGGAAGTAATGGCTGCTTCAGCCAGGAGAGGGAAAGCCATGGGCTTTAAAGAAAAGTGGCCCAAGGTGTTTTTGGAACAAAAGGGGGAAGACAGCCTGTTCAGAGAGTGGGCACTTTCTGCATCTGTGATGATACCCAGAGAGGACCTGTAGGATCTTCTCCCAGAACACTTCCTCCTCTGCCCTGAACATAAAGTCCAGTGACACACACGTTGGGAAGCAGCCTTCAGATTCTCTGACTGGATCTGCTTCCTGAGAAGGGAATTCTTGTCTCGTATAGACAGCTGTTCCTGCTTTCAAACCACAGAAGTCCCCCAGTGAAAACTAGTAAAAATGGCTTCCTTTCCACTATGTTCTCTTCATCTCTTGTGAGGTCGGTGTGAATGAATTCTTCACACCCTGAGCAACCCCAAGGAAATGAGAAGTCAAGGATAAAATCCTGTTTAGCAGAAGGGGAGACTGAGCTGCCCCACTGCCACATGGCAAACCCTGCTGCCCACTCAACCCTTAAGGATGTTGTGAAGAATAATGAGAGAACGGATGTGGAGGGCCTTGGGGTGGGCATTCTGGCAAAAATCCACGTTTTTGTAAACAAGCCATTAGCAACTATTTAAAATATGGTAGGGAAATAGTTGATGGTTAAATTACTAAATTATAAGAGATTAGAGACTGGGCAGGATGTGCAGCCAAGTCCCACTACAGCAGCAGTTCTCAAATCTGAGCATGATCAAAATTTGTTAAGATGTAGGAACACAGGTTCTACCCCTCAGAGATTTTGATTTGATAGATCTGGGGTGTTTTGTTTTTTAAAAAACAACCATTAGCCCTGGCCAGTTTGGCTCAGCGGTTGGCGCATCGGCCTGTGGACCAGAGAGTTCCGGGTTCGGTTTCCGCTAGGGGCACGTACCAAAAAAATAAAAAACAATCATTACAGTTGGTTCTGTGGTCCGGACTTTGAAAAACATTCTCCTAGAAAGATAAGACATTTCTTGACTACATTGAATCGGGAAATTGTAAAACAAGAACACAAATGATACTTGGTATTTCAAAGCACACCAGGGAGGTGGATTGTGTAGATGAGACTTCCTGGGTGGACAGTGTCCTCAAATGTCTACTTTGCAGTTGAGATACCAGGACACTGGAGCGATATGAAGCAGCAGCAAGTCTGTCTGGTTGAGCTGCAGCGTGGCCATGCAGAATACAACCAAGTGGCGGATGCATTTAATAAGACCTGCTCACAATTCAAGATACTGAAGGTAAGCTATCTGCTGACATGGAGTTTCTTAATGGTGGGAATGAGGGGTATTGTAGTCCTGGATAAATACATTTTTATTTCCTATCATATTTTTTAACCCAGAATTAGAATATTTTATGGTAATTAGATGCTAGATTTTTCTAACGTCCCAATCATTACTGAGACATTAAGACAGAGATTCTTGTGCCAGTTATAATAGATTGCAATATAATACGAGAATACTAAAGACATTTTATTTGTTAAGTAGGCTAATAAAAATTCAAAGATATGGCTTCAAAGTTGGAGTTAATAACTAGCAAACCACCACAGAGCAGCGGAGGCTCCGCGGGTCAGGGTTACTTAGGCGCCTCTGCCGCCCTGTGCACACGTTGACAGTGCTTGCTTCCTCCGTGAACTGGTGGTCCTTGCTTTGTTCACCTCATTTATTTTGGCATCTTCCACTCTTAAAAATTAATATTGCTCTTTGAAATCTATGGTCTTTCTTGACTTCTATGGTAATATTATTTTGATGCTTTCTTCTTTAATTACTTCTCCTTTCGTTATCACTGTTATCTGTTTCTCCTTCGAACCCTGAATCCTAGCTTTCCCCACAGGATTTATACTTTGGTCTTCTGTCTCTGCACTTTACCAGGGAATGCTTTTACCCTTCTTGGATGCGGCTATTATTTCAATGTTAATAGCTCTCAAATCAACATATCATCAATCTGGATCTTTGACTCCAACTCTAGAACATATTCCCAGGGTCCTAAAAATATCTCCACTTGGTTATCTATCTGTTAAATCAATTTTTCTACAACCTAATTCATCATCTCTAAGTAGTTATCTTTCCCCTTCTCCTTTCTGTCCTTGGTTCCACCATTCTCTGAGTAAAGCTAGAGGTTTCTGAGTACCTTCTCTTCATCCATTATAACAAGTGTGCCAATGAGGTCTGTATATTTTTTTCTTTGCAACTTTTCTCTTACTTTCTATTTGCACTGCCACCATTCTATTTATTCATGTAATTAAGCACATAATAATTCAAAAAATATTTGAAATGCCCTAAAAATATATGCCATACCTTCAGATAAAATAAGTAGTTGAAGAAAAATGGACAAAGAGAAAAGGAGGGTAGGGAAAATAAGATAACACAGAAGTATTTTTCACAAAAATATATAACATGAAGTCCTAGATAGTTACTAGAGAAGGACCACCAGTTTGTCCCTGAGCTTCCCAGTAGACAAAGCAAAGAAGTAAATAGCCAGCTACAAGATTCATAATCTTGTACAAAAATCAAAAAGCAAACCATTTGATCAGGAGATGCATAGCTTTCGCAATACTGACTGACTTCTGAGAGGTTTAGTCCATGAATAAAGTACTGGAGAATATCTTCGAAATCATCCTCACAATACATTCAATATCAAATTATATACCACTTTTTTAGTTTATTATTTTTTGAACTCATCTTTATTGTTGAATGTATTACAGATGTTCTCTCTTTTTTTCCTTATTGACACCCTCCTCCCCAACCCCCCTCCCCTTCCCCACACTATTGTCGGTGTCCATTGGTTATGCACATATGCATAGAAGTTCTTTGGTTTATCTCATCCTGCCCTTCCTTCAACTTTTTCACCCATCCCCCCAAACCCCACCCATCTGGCAGGCAACAAAAAGTTCTCTGTATCTATGAATCTGTTTCTGTTCTGCTTGCTTATGTATTTCTTGTCATTTTATTGCTCATATTTTTGTTCTTCTTCAAGAAGACTCTTCAACATTTCATATAATACTGGTTTGGTGGTGAACTCCTTTAGCTTTTTCTTGTCTGGGAAACTCTTGATATGTCCATCAATTCTAAATGATAGCTTTGCAGGATAGAGTAATCTTGGTTGTAGGTCATTCATTGCTTTTTATCACCTTGAAAGTCTCTTGCCACTCCTTTCTGGCTTGCAAAGTTTCTTTTGAGAAATCAACTGACAGTCTTTTTTTTTTTTTTTTTTTTAAAGAGGATTCTGGCTTTATTTATTTATTTATTTATTTTTTAATCCTCACCCGAGGATATTTTTTGTACAGATAGAGTGGGAGGGAGAGAGAGGAAGGGAGAGAAAGAGAGAAACATCGACGTGAAAGGGACACATCGAGTGGCTGCCACCCGCACGACCAACCAGGGCCGGGGACAAACTGCAACCGAAGTACGTGCCCTTAGCGGGAACCGAACCCGGGCCTCTCAGGACTGCAGGCCGACGCTCTAACCGCTGAGCCAAACCGGCCAGGGCTCAACTGACAGTCTTATGGGAGCTCCTTTGTAGGTAATGAACTGCTTTTATCTTGCTGCTTTTAAGATTCTCTCTTTGGCCCTGGCCAGTTTGGCTCCGTGGTTAGAGCGTCAGCCAGTGGACGGGAGAGTCCCAGGTTTGGTTCTTGTTAAGGGCGTGTACCTCGGTTGCAGTTTGTCCCAGGCCCCAGTTGGGGCCATGGGGGTGGCAACCATTGGATGTGTCCCTCTCACATCAATGTTTCTCTCTTCCTTTCTCTCTCCTGTTGTAGACCAACGAGACAGACCAGTCTCAGGCTCCGAACTGGGTTCAAATTAAGAGAGCTTTATTAGCTGTGCGGCGACTGTCCCATCCTACACAGAGGAGAGAGCAGCTCCGAGCTCAGGGGGTGGGTTGCTTATATAGTTGTCTTAGCCCCTGTTAAGGAATTTGGGTTAAGGGTATGCGAGCAAGCAAGCATGTACAGAAGCAGATATTTGCAGTTAGCTGTTATGCCTGAGGGAACAATCAGTTTCTGTGTACACAAAGCAATGGTTATCTATACAATGCAGTGGTTATCTATTAGTAGATAGTTCTTGCCATTCCCTTAAAATCCAGGGGGTAAGGTCATATGTTTGTCCTTTACACTCCCTCCCCCTCTCTCTGAAGATATATGCAAAAATTTCCTCGGGTGAGGATAAAAAAAAAAAAAAAAAAAAAAGATTCTCCCTTTGTATTTAACCTTTGGCATTTTGATGATGATGTGTCTTGGTGTGGACCTCTTTGGGTTCATCTTGTTTGGGAGTCTGTTCTTCCTAGACTTGTATGTCTGTTTCCTTCACCAAATTAAGGAAGTTTTCTGTCATTATTGTTTAAAATAGGTTTTCAATTTCTTGTTCTCTCTCCTCTCCTTCTGGCACTGCTATGATGCAAATGTTGGCACGCTTAAAGTTGTCCAGAGGCTCCTTACACTATCCTTATTTTTTTGGATTCTTTTCTCTTTATGCTGTTCTGATGGGGTGTTTTTTGCTTCCTTATATTCCAAATTGATGGTTTGCTTCTTGGCTTCACCTATTCTACTATTGATTCCTTGTAAATTATTTGTAAGAACGAGGCAGTGCCGAGTAAGCAGAAGAGTGTAGGTTTATTGAGGGAAAGACCTGCTGGGCTACCTCTAAGGAGAAAATATCAACTGGCTTGTCCAGACTAAGAATTTTTAAACTTAGGGCTGGGGTGGGTGGCCGTTCAGCTGAGGAGTCATGGTCAACCTTGATGGGTCGGGGCTGGGGTCTCCTGAAACTTTTCTTGTAGAGACCGTTTGCAGTTTTGGGTGGGTTAGGGTAGTTCCGTCATTCCGTTCCGCCTGACTGGAGTGATGGGTTTTGGTTTCCTGGAATGAGAGGCTTAGGGCAAGGTTAAACAATAAGAGGCCTGGGGCATCAATATGAAAGTAAAAGATTTAAGAGGCTTGGGGCAATAATATGGAAGTTAGAGTTAACTGGTGCCAGACCTGGGCCACTTAATGAGAGGTATGGGGCTCACTGAGAGCAGATGCTGCTTGTTTGATAGATTTTAGGAAACTCTGAAGCAGGATCCAAGACAGGCCAATCCTATGGTAAAGCCTTTGGAAACAGCTTGGGTGGGCCTGAAAGTTGGTGGGGCAGGGCAACCAGGGTGAGCCAGGTTGCAGGAGTCCCAGATATGGTGGCTGTCTGCTGCCCCCCCACCCCCACCCCAGGGAAGGGCTCACCAAAGGAACATCAGCCTCCACTAGCACGTTTGTCCAGGAGAGAGCCCCCTCTCCAGCCCTCATCTCGAGGCCAAACAGCTCAGTTCTTCCCTGCATGTCTCTGGTGTCCCTCAAGCTGCCTCCAAGCTTAGAGAGAGCAAGTCCGAGTGAGTCTGTGTGCAGGCCCTAGTTTGGCTCAGCGGTTGAGCGTCTTCTTCGGACCAGAGGATCCTGGGTTCAGTTCCCGCTAGGGGCACGTACCACAAATAAATAAATAAATAAATAAATAAATAAATAAAGCCAATCATTTAAAAAAAAAAAGAGGAACTGCCTGGGGCTCCAGCAGTGGCAGCCTCCTTGAGCCTCAGTTCCTGCTGGTTTTTCCAGCCAGAAGTTATGGGGATTCTCCTCCTGGCACTGGAACCCTGAGCAGGGCATCTGGTATGGGGCAGGGACCCCTCAGTCCTCAGGGAGGACCTTCCCGGCTGAGTGCCCCTCCTGATTTTTATCCACCACAGTTGGGTGTGGGGCCTGTAGTTGTGGGAGGAGGTGATAACCTCGTTTTCCCACTTTTTTTTAGATCTCAATGTAAACCAATTGAGCAAAACAATTCTGCGAGGTACTAAGACAATGTGACTCTATGCAGCTCTTTAATGATCTGGTTCTGAAATGGCAAATACGTTTCATTCCCAATACCATCTCATCGCAGCTAACTGGCACACTGTGGTGAGATGCCAAGCCCAGGCTGAGCAGGACTGTCCAGCTGGCCAGCAGTGTCTGCATTGGGCCCTGGAGGCTTGCCGTGTGTTGTCAGACCTCGGCCAGAGAAATGATGTCACTACGTTTTTGTAGTGGAACCTTTTTCTCAAATAACACTTTATGTGAAATCCCAGTGTAAGACCAACAAAAGCAGAGCTAGGAAGTACTTAAGGCACCTCTGTGGAGGTCTCTGGTCATGCGAAAACATTAACATGAAAAATGAACGGTTTATCATCCTCCATGTCTGTTACGTCTTATGACTATGATTTTTAACATCCACCTGGATTAAAAAATTTTGCCACATTTACTTTTTCTCCCTCACTCTCAGTTTTTGCTGAAGCATCTGAAAGTAAGTTGCAGACATCATGACACTCCTAAATAGTTTAATACATTTCTCTTAAGAACAAAGACATTCTCCCAAATAACAAAGTATCATTATCCCATGTAAGAAAATATGTTTTGCAAGACTATTTCATAGGTGATACATCACATGAAGCCTTATATGATAAGGTTGTCCCACTATTTTTTTATTTTTTATTTTGAATCCTCACCTGAGGATATTTTTCCATTTATTTTCAGATAGAGTGGGAGGGAGGGGGGGGAGAGAGAGAGAGAGAGAGAGAGAGAGAGAGAGCAAGAGAGAAATATTGATGTGAGAGAGACACATCAATTGGTTGCCTCCTGCACGACCCAGACCAGGGCTGGGGACTGAACTACAACTGAGGTACGTGCCCTTGTACTCTTGATGGGAATTGAACCCGAGACTCTTTGGTCCCTGGACCAATGTTCTAACCACTGAGCAAAACCAGCCAGGGCTGGTTGGGTTTAAATATGCCATATTAATCTTTGTTCTCTATGTATCACAGCTATTCTTTGTTCCGTTTCTTTTTTCCTTACCTTCTTTTGCATTAAGTATTTTTATCATTCCATTTTTATGCCCTATTAGATTGTTCATTATACATCTCACCTATTATAATTCAGCAATTACAGTGTATATCCTTGACTTATTAAACTCTAATGCAAATTAGTATATTTATCATTTCCCAAACAATGCAATGAATTTTGAACACTTTAAACCCATTTATCCCCTCCTGCCTTTTGTACTACTTTTAACCTGTATTTTAATTTTGTGTATATTTGAAACACCATAAAGTTTTAATTTTTGATATAGTCATTGTTTGTTTTTTTTTTAATTTATTTTTTTACCCTCACCCAAGAATATTTTTTCATATTTTGTTCAGATAGAGTGGGAGGGGGAGAGAGAGAGAGAGAAACATTGACGTGAAAGGGACACATCTAGTGGTTGCCACCCACACAACCCAACCAGCGCCGGGGACAAACTGCAACTGAAGTACGTGCCCTTAGAGGGAACCGAACCCGGGTCTCTCTGGACCACAAGCCGATGCTCTAACCGCTGAGCCAAACCGGCTAGGGTGATACAGTCATTGTTGATTTATATTTACCCTTTTATCCCACTGCCCTTCCATTCTTCTTGTATTTTCATGCCTACATCTTGGGATCGTTCTCCTTCTGGTTTTATTGTTGTTTTTTTCAGTGTAGATCTGGTCGTGATGTTTCTGGTAGTCTCAGTGTTTGTTTGTCTGAAAATGTCTTAATTTCACTTTCATTCTTTGAAGGACATTTTTGCAGGGTATAGAATTCTGGGTGGCAGTTATTTTCTTTAAGCACTTTGAAGAAGTTAATCTATTGTCTTCTGACTTTGCTTCACTCTGCACTGCTGTTCTGTCTGGGAACTTGGCCCATCAAATCCTTGTTGCCTTCAGACATGCCTGCCCCTCCACCCCCCCAGCTCTTCTAGTCATTGTTGACAAGAGGATTGGTCTGATATAAATAGTTGACCACAGCCAGAAGCCTGCTGCTAATATAAACCTACTAAGTCAAGTTTAAGATTTATTTGCAGTGCTGCTGTTTTTTTTAAATCCTCACCCAAGGATATTTTTACATTTATCTTCAGAGTGGGAGGGAGAGTGAGAGAGAGGGAGAGAGAGAGAAAGAGAGAGAGAAAGAGAAACATTGATGCAAGAGAGATACATCGATTGGTTGCCACCCGCATGATGCCAGGGACCAACAGAAACCGAGGTATGTGCCCTTGGCTGAAATCGAACCCGGGTCTCTTTGGTCCACAGGCCGACGCTCTAACTGCTGAGCCAAGAGCCACATTGGCCAGGGCTGCAGTGTTTTTTTTTAACCTTATAATTTATCCCATTGGGGATATAGAATCAGATTACTATTTTCAAAATTACTTGAAATAATTATTTTCATTGTGTGGTTATTACATTTTAGAAGGTTGAGTGCAGCACATATACTAAAAACGGGCGAGAAACAAGAATGAAAAGCTAAGAAATAAGAATGATTTCAAAACTAAGTAGAAATTTTTAAGGCTTTTTGAAAATGAATAAATTCTAAGGTAAATAGAAACAAAATGGAAAATTAAAGTTTTTAAAGATTAAAAACTTAATTGTAGGTAAAAAGAAAAATAAATTTTAAAATCACAAATCAGATCAATAAAATGCATGATAATGCAGAGACTTTGAGCTAGAGGTCAAACTGTATCTTAATTAAAAATAAGAAACCCAAAACTGAAAGAAAGAAAAAAAATGAAGGCTGGTAACAGTGTTAGCACCGAGATTTCTGTAGACTGGAAGAAGATTCTGGAAGCATGGAACCTTTACTTTGTGCCTTTCCTGAGGGGCTCACCCCCTTCACCCACTCCTCATTCCTTCCCAGGACAACTCTATGAAACTGCCACTCCCTGTTGATTAGGGAAGTTTGGAAGCTGACCTGCAATCTAGGACCCAAGGAGTTTTCACCACATCCCTGGAAACCACTGACCAAAGAGTATGGTCAAAGCTTGGCCACTTTGGAATGCAGATTGGTGCAGTGTGAAGAAAAACAGTGTGAAGAAATGCAGAAAAACAGTGTGAAGTTTCCTCAAAAAATGAAAAATGGAATTGCCTTATGACCTAGTGATTCCACTTCTGGGAATATATCTGAAAAAAAGAGAAAAAAAACAGAAACACTAATTCGAAGGAGTATGTGCACGCCTATGTTCATTGCAGTGTTATTTACAATAGCCAAGATTTGAAAGCAGCCCATGTTCCCATTGGTAGATGAGTGGATGAAACAGTGGCAGTACATTGACACAATGGAATACTACTCAGCTGTAAAAAAGAAGGAAATCTTGCCTTTTACAACAGTGTGGAAGGACCTAGAGGGGATTATGCTAAGTGAAATAAGCCAGTCTGAGAAAGACAAATATGATATGATTTCACTTATATGTGGAATCTAATGAATAGAATAAAGAAACAAAATAGAAACAGATTCATAGATACAGAGAACAGACTGAGAGCTGTCAGAGGGAGGGTGTTGGGGGACTTGGTGAAAAAGGTGAAGGGATTAAGAAGTACAAATTGGTAGTTGCAGAATAGCCACAGAGGTATAGATTACAGCAATAATATCAAGATAAATAGGTATGGGACCAGGTGGGTACTTGAAGCAGTAGGGGGAACCACTTTGTAAATACATAATTTTTTAACCACTTTGCTATATACCTGAAACTAATACAGAATGATACTGAATGTAAACTGTAATTGAAAAATAAATTAGGCCCTGGCCAGTTTGGCTCAGCGGTTAGAACATCGGCCTGTGGCCAGGGAGTCCCGGGTTTGATTCTGGCCAAGGGCACGTACCTCAGTTGCAGTTTGTCCCTGACCCTGGTTGGGGTCATGTGGGTGGCAACCAATGGATGTATCTCTGTCAAATCAATGTTTCTTTCTCTCTCTCTCTCTCCCTCCCACTCTGTCTGAAGATAAATGTAAAAATATCCTCAGGTGAGGATTAAAAAAATAATTTAAAAAAAAGAAAAATAAATTAGAAAAACAAAAACAAAAACGCATGACCACTTGGGTCTGTGACCAGATTCCCTTCCACCAGGATTCATGCCCACTCTTCCAACTGGACAAGAGATTAATTTTCACTAATTTCCTTCTTGCCTAGACACACTAGTGCTTCTCCCACAGGTAACAGCTTGGCTAGGTAAACCGTCTTCCAGAAGGACGGAGGAGAGGCAGAGTGACGAGGCGAGGTGGACTGCAGCAGGAGCAGTCGTTACAGTGGAAGCAAACGGCAGAGTTGGACGGCCGTGGTTCGCCAAGGCCCTGGACATTGCTTCTGCTCATGCAATGCACAAAAGATGTTAAACATTAAATCAACTTTCTTCCCAAGGCCTGATTTGTGAAACTCTGGGCCTAAAAATATTTCTGAATGCAGAAAGCTGCCATCTGTCACTGAACTTGCTGTTTGTAGTAATTTTTTTTTTTTATCCTCACCTGAGGACATTTTTCTATTTTTTGTTCAGGTAGAGTGGGAGGGGGAGAGAGGAAGAGAGAGAGAAACATCGATGTGAAAGGGACACATCGAGTGACTGCCACCCGCACGACCAACCAGGGCCGGGGACAAACCGCAACCGAGGTGCATGCCCTTAGCGGGAACCGAACCCGGGTCTCTCGGGACCGCAGGCCGACGCTCTAACCGCTGAGCCAAACCGGCCAGGGCTGTTTGTAGTAATTTTTACTTATAAACAATAGTGGTCTTTCCCTGGCCAAGTGGCTCAGCTGGTTGGAGTGTTGTCCAGTATGCCAAAAGGTTGTGGGTTCGATCCCTGGTTGGAGCGCATACAGAAGGCAGCTGATCATTGTTTCTCTCTGGCATTGATGCTTCTCACTCTCTCTCCCTCTCTCCCTCCCATCCTCTCTCACAACATATCCTTGAGTGAGGATTAAAAAAAACAGTGGTCATGTTTCATTTGCTGTGTCTTGCCATGGGCTCTTGGCACTGACAGAATATTTTTTCCTTATTGGTTTGCAGATTGAGAGGATCCAGAATCCAGCTCTCTGGAAGGCCTACCAGACAAAGAAAAAAATCATGGATGCAAAGAATGGCCAAATACAAAATGAGAAGCTGCTCTTCCATGGGACAGATGCTAACTCATTGCCACATGTCAACCTGCATGGCTTTAACCGCAGTTATGCAGGAAAGAATGGTAAGGAAGCGAGGAATATGTCTGCCCCAGATGAGGTGTCAGCCGTAAGAAGCCATGCTGGCTCAGGGACCACGGGGGACCTGCCTTGTGTTCTCTCATGGTTCGTGGCCATGTTGCAGCCAGAGTTTTGACTGACTCAAAGATGGAGGAATGATGTTTTAAATTAAAAACACACACACAAATATTTTAAAGAGGCTTTAGAGAGAACTGAACATTATATTAACATTATTGGATATATTGGGATAATTCATCAAACTCTAGACTAAATTGAAATTCTTAAAAATGTTGTTTCTCTTTTCACAGCTGTGGCATATGGAAAGGGAACCTACTTTGCTGTCAATGCCAACTATTCTGCCAATAACACCTACTCCAAACCAGACATAAATGGGATAAAGCACATGTATTATGTGCGAGTACTTACCGGATTGTATGAATGTGGAAATCAGTCATTAATTGTGCCTCCTCCAAAGAATCCTCAGCATCCCATTGACCTCTATGACACTGTCACAGATAATGTGCGAAATCCCAGTTTATTTGTGGTATTTTATGACTACCAGGCTTACCCAGAGTACCTCATTACTTTTACACAATAACATTGTGGTATCCTTCTCAGAAGACGTTATTCATCTATGCCAGCAATTTTCAACTTGTTTCATCTCATGGCACATAAACTAGTTACTAAAATTCTGTGGCATACCAAAATATATATTTTTTGCTGACCTGACCCCCCCCAAAAAGTATAATTTTGATTTATGCACACCAGATGGCTACTGTTGTGTTGACTGTTGTCACTGTTTTTTTATTTGACAGTCTAAGGGAAAAGAGGTCAGTGCCCCTGACTAAATAGTCAGGTATTTCACGTTTTTAAAATTCTTATGGCACACCAGCTGAAAATCACTGATCTATACTTATGTAGTTATAAAACAGGTTTTAAATTTTTTTCCCTCTTAACAGCCTTTTCTAAAGGATCCTCACCACTGAAATCAGAGTTTCTTCAGCTTCTTTTATAACTAGAGTGAACCTATCTTGAAATCAGTAAGTTTGAGAATTTAAATCAGATAATTTAGTTACAATGGTATGTCCACAACCATGGACATCAAATCTGTAGAAGAAAAGAAAAGGTTTCTATTTTCAGGAAGGAAAGAATAACATCAGTCTTAGCAGAGGGCACAGCTCTGCAGTCTCAGCTGCTAGTGCAGAGAGAAATGGCCCCAGGTCAGGAGGCCACATTACTGTGGGCAGCACAGTCTTACTGAGGGAGTGGACTCCTATCCTTCCTGGGGGCAGCAAAGCTGTCTTATTAGTTGTTTTTTCCATCCCTGGACTACGTCTGTGCCTGATGTCCAATGGATGCTCAAAAAATGTTTCATAAACCAATTAAGAATGAAAAGGTCTAGTCAGACTTCCTACACAAGGATGAACCATTTCGTCAACATCCTTGACTTCTTGCCACGTTGGCTCAAATTGAGCAGATTCCATGATAGGGAACCTGGTGTTTCATGAACCAGCCCCTGGCTGAGGGGCTCCGGTCAGGGCCCTGGGATCGCAGTGCAGCTGCGCCCTGCCTAGCCCAGGGGCTGTGGTCTGCCTTGTGGGGTAGATGAACTGTGTCCCATGGAATTGTGCAGCACAGCAGCCCTGGCTTCAAGTGTCCTTTTTGTGTTGAATCCAAATCTGCCTATTTATGACTTCTCATTGGTGTTAATTTTGCCCAGTGAAAACAGTAGGATGATAATGCTTGCTACATCTTTAGTATGAAACCCTCTACTCTGTTAAGATGAAGAGAATTCTAAGATTATTAAATGGCATATTTTCCTTGGCAGCCTAGCTTTTGGTGATTTAAAGGTATATAAATAAACCAAAGGAATGAAACATAATGCTAATTTGCTAGCCCAGTATCTGTTGGATCATATAGGAAAGTTTATTGTTTAACTTCCCCAGGTAAATTTCAGATTCAGTTTATTGAGCACTTAGATGGCACCAGGTAGTATAATAGACACTTTCATGTACAGTATTTATTTTATTCCCGCAAACAATCCTGTGAGGTAAGAATTATATCCTCACTTTAAAGCCAAGGAAACAGGCTCAGAGTGCAAGCAGTTTCCTTGCCTGAGGTCACCTGGGCAATGGCCCTCAGAGTCAGCGACTGAATCTTGCTCCGTGTCATCAAGCCCTCTGTTCTTCCCACGACAGACCATGGCCTCTAGATTAATGTTACTCATTCAGGTGCATCGCAGCCAATCTGTGAATCCCCTTTATATTCCCTTCACTTTTTCCTCTGGCTTTGGTTTCTGTCAGTTTTCATTGGAAGCTCTGAAGGCTGAGGTCAGAGCTGATGCCCACGCAAAGCCAGTGCTGATGGCTCACTCGGACACAAGGGGTCGCTAGAAGGGTAAAGGTGCTCTTCCCTGGCCGTGGGGGAAAACCTGCACTTCACTGTAGAGGTGGTTGAGGGGGCCACAGTTCCTGCTTCATTAACACATAAGTCTTGATATTTCTCTTGCTGTTGCTGTTTGTTTTTTGAAGTGGACTGGCAAAGACACTTTATTGCTTAGGAGTGTTCGGCCACGGGCATCTCAAATTGGGCTTGACAATGAATGTAAGAAATAAAAAAGGAGAGGCCCACTCTCTAATTTGCTCCTTCTCCAGTGGTTTGGTTAACTTAGGGCAAGGCTGAGTATCAGCGTGTATTCAACCAAGGTATAATGTTACAATTATCCAGTCAATCTAGAGAAATGTCATTTACCTCCTTTTTGAATAAAGTACTTGGAAAATGTCATTTGATGGTAAACATTTTTATTTATCAAGGCAAACACATGAAAGCTTGATGATGAACACAAGCCACTGATAACAAAAGCCCCCAATTAAATATGACAGCATCAAGGGATCCTCAGAGTATTAATAATATTCGGCTGAACCCTGGCCAGGTGGCTTAGTTGGTTGAAGCATCATCCCATGCACCAAAAGGCTGCAGATTTTATTCCTGGTCAGAGCACATACTGAGGTTGTGGGTTTGATACCCAGTCAGAGTATGTACAGGAAGCAACCGATCGATGTTTCTCTCTCTCTCTAAAAAAAAGCATATCCTTGGGTGAGGATTAAAAAAAAAAATCTATCTCTAAAAAAAAAAAATTTGGCTGAAAGTTACAGAAAGGGCACAGTGCAGGTTTAATTCAGTAAATCTGAAGGACAAATTGACCCCAAGTAGCACCTGCTGAAAAAAGCCTGCCTTGAGCCTGTGATAAGTCTTGGTGGTCTACTCTAGGGCCAGAGATTCTTAAATTTTTTTGGTATTTAAATCACCTGAGGTGTCTGCTGAGGCCACCAATCCTGGTTCATCCCAAAGGAGTCAGATTCTGTAGCTCTAAATTGGTGCCCAGAAATCTGCATTTTCAGCAAGCACCTTAAAAATGATAGCTGTCCCTGGTTCCCACAGCCACTTAGGACTTTCATGGACCCCAGGCACTTTTGCCTTTGTGGGCCTCTTACTCTATAAGAAGTAGTAAGCCCTGGCCGGTTTGGCTTAGCGGTTAGAGCGTTGGCCTACAGTCCAGAGAGACCCGGGTTCGGTTCCTGCTAAGGGCACGTATCTCAGGTGGCAGCTACTCGATGTGTACCTTTCACGTCGATGTTTCTCTCTCTCTTCCTCTCTCTCCCTCCCACTCTATGCGAACAAAAAATGAAAAAAATGTGAAGATAAAAAAAAAAAGAAGTATTAAAACTTGTACTTTGTGCCCCGGCCGGTTTGGCTAGAGCTTTGGCCTGCGGACGAGAGGCCTGGGTTCGGTTCCCACTAAGGGCACATACCTTGGTTGCAGTTTGTCCCCGCCCTGGTTGGGGTTGTGTGGGTGGCAACCACTCGATGTGTCTCTGTCACATTGATGCTTCTCTCTCTCTCTCTCCTCCTGCCTCTCCCTCCCGCTCTAGCGAAAGATAAATGCAAAAAAAAAAAAAAAATGTCCTCGGTGAGGATAAAAAAAAAACAAACTTGTACTTTGCAACTGCATTGATAAAAACATGAATGTAATTGAGGATGGAATATATATATATCTTTTGTTTTTTTGAAGGAAATTAAAACAAGCCCGGCCTATGTGGCTCAGTGGTTGAGCGTCAACTCATATACCAAGAGGTTGCTGGTTCAATTCCTGGTCAGGGCACATGCCCAGGTTGTGGGCCTGATCCCGGGGCGGGTGGGGGGCATGCAGGAGGCGGCCCATGGATGTTCTTTCTCATCGATGTTTCCATCACTCTCTCCCTCTCCCTTCTCTCTCTAAAATCAATAAAGAAAATTTTTTTTTAAAGCTAAAACACTTTTGTGGACCCCTAAAAGCTTGTGCACGGGCCCTAGCCACTGTGCCTGCTGTATAGTTCAGCCTTGCTGATACCTGGACTCTGTGACTTTAGGCATATGCTGAGCTTGTACTCCTCAATCCCTCCAGCCTCTAGAGGGTCAGTGCTTTATTTAATAATTGATTTCACTCACTTGGGCATGCTCGTCTGAGAAATGCAGGGTGAAACGGGACCCAGGTGTTTGGTGACCAAGAGCCTGCCCCTTTCATATCTTTTCTCACTTGCAGGCTCCCCTTCTGCAAACAGCAGGATCTCTTGCTATGTCATAATCTCCACATTGAAAGTCAGGACATTGGTCCCCATTACCTGTTTACACTTAGAATCCATTCGTACCAATGGCCTAACTCTGTTTCCAGGTGTCTGTATGCCAAAGACTACTCCCTCTGAGTTAAATGCTTTGTCTCAGAACAGCATTCAAACGTTTCTGACTCCAACCTACACTAACAAATACATTTTATATTAGGCCCAGTACACACACTGATATAACTGCAAGTGTTATGAAGTATATTTACCCTGAAAAAATACTTTTCCTACAAAGTTTCACATAATACTTGTATTTACTACTGAACTCACGGAAATGACCTATTATGTTCCATTTTTTCAAAAAAATGCTGGTCTTACCCACTAAATTGATTTTATGAATTATTAATGGGTCACAGCCTGCAACTTGAAATCAGTGGTCAAAGAAGTAACAAACATAAAAATGAAAATATTCTAAGACAAAGATAATGTCTATTTCTGCAATAGGGCTACACCCACTAGGTTAACGGACACAGTACCCTTGGCTACAACATCCTCTGCCCCAATGTATTTGACGGAGTACTGCCAGTAAGGTCTTCTTTTTAAAATTATCCACTCAGCTGGATACAACACCTGCCACGTGCTGGCCAATGATCTAGGTTCTGCAAATACAGCAATAATCAAAGTCCAAACCTTCATGCAGTGACATTCTGGTTGGGGAATATAAACAACAGATAAATAGGTAGATATACAGTGGTCAGATGGTGGTTAAGTGCTACAGAAGCATTTTTCCCTCCAAATCCTTCTTTTCCTGGTCATGTCCACATGACACCTCCCTCCCTCCCTCTCTCTGGAAGGCACATACTTTCTTTGGGTTTATTGATACCCTCAGGCTGAAGACTGAGAAGGATAAGGCCAGAAGTCAGCTCATCAAAAAGGTGATTTTGTACACCTCTTGTTTTGTATTTGTTTCATAAATAGTTGCTGAGAGATCAATGTGCTTTTCTAATTTCTAAATTCTTACTTAGACCTTAATGGCAACAATTATCCCCAGATCTTCTTGCAAAAGTAGTAACAGTGGGATCAATTTCATCAAACCAAGCTTTTAGTCCGTTTTTATTCCCAGGACGTGTTTCTACATGCCCAGGTTCCTTCCATACTGGACCCCCAACTACTTTTCTCCTGTGGGTATCCTGCCCTGGATGCAGGGATTAACAGTGAGAATTCTGTCGGTGTTAGAAATCTGATCACGTCAGGTCAAGGCTAGAATCCACCCAATGGGTGCATTAGGCCAGGGGCTGGCAATATACATATATTTTTTTCTGTGAGGGAATATAGTGAAGACTTTCAGCTTTGTGGGCATCTGGTTTCTGTCACTGCTCAACTCTGCTACAGCAACCCCACCACCACAGACAGCACGTGAACAAGTCACGAGGCTGTGTTCCAATCACACTTCATTACAAAAACAAGCCGCCCCTGCTTCAGGCTGATGGAGAGATTCTTTCCGGTTGAGAACACTTGGGGCTTACATTTGAAGAGGGCTGGAGGGATGGAATGGGAGAGGAAAGGAAAGGGCTCAGGAAAAAGGTCTAACAAATAACAGAGCAATGTGCATGCAAGAAGGTGGCAAGAGACTGAAATTTAACAAGTACATTTACAAGCATGAGCATAATTTGTGCTACTTCAGCTTTTATTTAAAAATCGTACTATTTTGAAAATATTTAAAAATAGTATTTAAAAAGTCATTTTCTATTATAATCACAAACTTCTTCCTTGTATCAAAAGTTGTGCCACAATCTTGGTTACTTGTGGATTCACCAAGCAGTCCAGCAAGTTATCTGTGGAAATGAATGTCTGAGAAGGGGCCATAGTATTATTTGAAGCAATTTGTTCACCAATTGCATTCTCATGTTTACTCATTATTCGTTGCTTCTTAGTACAGTGCAATTTTTCAAATTGCTCTCCATCTTTGGCAACAAAGTCTTTACCATCATTTTCAAGTATGCCCCCTCTTTCTGAGGGTGGGTCTTCAGAACTCGGTTGCACGGGAACCAGATCAGGGCCGAAGGGACTTGCTGCCTGCTGTTCTACTGTTCCCGAGGTCAGGTTCTGGCTACCTGTCTGATCCACCTCCATGAGGCTGTGCACACTTAATTCTTTCTTCACGTACTCTCCGTTTGTTCTGAGTGCTTGGATTTCTACTGGCTTAGATGTTCTGTAATGATCAAAAAAGGCTGAAACAGCTCTATTTAAGTAGCGACAATTGACTTCATGGGATGTTTCCTCAACCTAAGGAAAACGAAAAACCTTTTAGAGTGGCTACATAGATTGGAAAATACATCTAGTCAGGGTTGATTTATTACAGGAAGCAACTGCCATGACGGGAGCCCAAAGTGGCCTACCTCTGTTGGGTTCAGCCAAGCTCTGGTGCTGTGTGGGTCCTCCGCAGTCTTCAGGGCACACACAAGCGTGCGGGTGATGGCCTCCTCTACCCGAGCCTGGTGGTCCTCTTCCTAAGTTGAGATGAAAACACCATTGTTTTTCATTTGTCTCTGTGTCTCATGGCTTAAAAGAGATAAGAGTCTCTTAATTACCTGTTCTTTTCTCATTAATATAAGCTTAATAATATGAACATGTTGGCAGACCACAATTTTTTGTGTGTTTACTATCATCTGCCATCCAGAAGAGCCGCAGAATATTTCACTAGCCAAATTTAAGTATATATCCTGTCTATAAGGCATAGGCCTTGAACATGAACCACTTTGTGATGGTTTTTTTCCCCCAATCTTTTCCATTCTCTGACATGTTTCAAGCCAAAAAAAAAAAAAAGTGTTACATATATAGAAATAATCCTTATAGAGTTTGACAAGCTAATTGTTTGAGGAATGGGAGAAAAATTATAATAAACATGCTTAGCCACAAGAATGAGATGGCTAAATCTGTAAATAAGTTTTTTAAGATACAATAAATATAAACCAGAGCATTAATGACAAACTACATTAAAGTCAACAACTTTACTTCATCAAACACCATAAAAGAAAAAAAAAATCCCAGATGTCTATAATATATAGTATAATTGATAAAGCCCTGTAAGAATATGAGATTAATATTTAGACTATATAAAGAGTTTGCACACTTCAGTAAGAAAATGACCCAATTTTTAAAATGGGCAAAAGACATGAAGATAAGCATTTCAACAAAAAACAATTACATGATTAATAAACATAAAAATATGCTTAACCTCATTAAAAATATAGGAAATGTAAATCGAGAAACAAACAAAAAAAGCCCCAGTAAAAGAGGGTCTGATAATTCCAAGTGGTGGAAAAATGTGCCCTGACAGACACAAGTATCACACACTGATGATATAAGTGCATACTGATAGAGCCATTTGGAAAACATGTTAGCATTATCTTGTAAACTTGAGTACTGTATACCCTACAGACCAGCAATTCTACTCTGAGATATACACATACTCTCTAGAGAAACTTGTACATTTGTACAAGAATACTCCAGTTATAAAAGTAAAAAATAGTAAAGAACCCAGAACAATGAACCAGTAAATTGTGGTACATTAACACAAGAAAATACTTCACAGTGAAATGAATGTGACAACACAGATGAATCTTGGAAACATAATATCAGTGTGAAAAAGCAAATCCCCCACATTGAGACACGCTTTACACAAGGACGGCTACAATAAAAAAGACAGATAACCACAAGTGTTGACGAGGATGGGGAGAAACCAGTCTTCAGTCACTGCTAGTGGGACTGTAAAGGGTACAGCTGCTTTGGAAAAAAGCCTGGCAGTTCCTCAAAAGTTTAACATATGTGATGGTTAATTTTATAAGTCAACTTGATTGGGCTTTGGTGCCCAGTTGTTTGGTCAAGCACTAGCAGAGATGTTACTGTGAAGATATTTTCTAGATGTGATTAATATCTGTAATCAGTTGACTTTCAGAAGATTGCCCTCAACCATGTGGGTGGACCTCATCTAATCAGTTGAAGGCCTCCACAGTGAAAACCAAGGTTTCCTGGAGAAGATGGAATTCTGCCTCAAGACTAGCAGAAACCCTGAGTGAGCGTCCAGCCTGCTGGGCTGTCCTACAGATTTCACACTCTAGACCGCAACTTCAACTCCTTGAGTTTTCATCCTGCTGCCCTGCCTTGACTAATTAACATACCATATGACCCAGCAATTCCACTCCGAGGTGTATATCCAAGAGAAATGAAAACATATATCCACATAAAACTTGTACATGAATGTTAACAATAGAATTATTCATAGTAGCTAAAAGCAGACACAATCCAAATGTCTACCAACTCATGGATGAATAAACAAAACATGGTATATTTATACAATGGAACACATTCAGCCATAAAAAAAGAAATGAAATACTGATACATACTACTACATAATGAATCTTGAAAACATGCTGAGTGAGAGATGCCAGCCACAGAACACTACATTATGTAATTCCAGAACTGGCAAATCTACACAGATAGTAAACAGGTTAATGATCGCCTATGGCTAGAAAGGAAAATGGGAGGAGTAACTATCAATAGATATGGGGTTTCTTTTTAGGGTGGTGAAAATGTACCAAATTTGATTTGGGTATGGTTGCACAATTCTGTGAATATAGTAAAAACTACTGAACTGTACAATTCAAATGGCTGATCTGGATGGTATATAAATTATATCATAATAAAGTCATTATTTAAAAAAACCCACAAGCCAAGATGGCGGCGTAGGTAAACGCGGTATCACGTGCTCCCACAACCACATCAAAGTTACAACTAAACTACAGAACAACCATCATTCAAAACCGCCTGAAATCAAGCTGAATGGAAGTCCTACAACTATGGAATTAAAGCAGCAGCCACATCCAGACTGGTAGGAGGGGCGAAGGCGGACAGGCTGGTCCCACACCCACGTGTGGCAGATAAAAATCCGGAGGACACCTTGGCTGGGAAGGTCCTTCCTGAGGACTGAGGGGTCCTTGTCCCACACCAGGCGCCCGCTCAGGGTTCCAGTGCCAGGAAGAGAAGTCCCCATAACTTCTGGCTGGAAAAACCAGAGGGAACTGAGGCTCAGGGAAGCTGAAGCGGCTGGAGCCCCAGGCACCTCCTCTTAAAGGGCCCGCGCACGGACTTATTGGACTCACTCCCTCTAAGCTTGGAGGGGAGGCAGCTCGAGGGATGCCAGAGACATACAGGAAAGAACTGAGCTGTTTGGCACTGGAACGAGGGCTGGAGAGGGGGCTTTCTCCGAGACAAACGTGCTGTCAGAGGCCTTTGTTCCTTTGGTGAACCCTTCCCTGGGGCAGCAGACAGTCGCCATATCTGGGACTCCACACTGGTAACCCCGCCCTGGTGATTCCCTGAGGCCCCGCCCCACCCAACTTTCAGGCCCACCCAAGCTGTTGCCAGTTGCTTAACCACAGGATTGGCTTGTCTTGGATCCTGCTTCAGGTTTTCTTAAATTCTTTCAAACAAGCAGCATCTAGTCTCAGATAGCCCCATACCTCTCCTTAAGTAATACACAGAAACAAACACAGGGAGGCAGCCAAAATGAGGAGACAAAGAAACAGGTCCCAAATGAAAGAACAGAACAAAACCCCAAGAAAAGAACTAAGCAAAATGGAGATAAGCAACCTAACAGATGCTGAGTTCAAAATACTGCTTATAAGGATGCTCAATGAACTTAGTGAGAACCTCAGCGAACTGAGTGAGGGCCTCAAGAGCATAAAAAAGGACCAGTCAGAAATGATGGATGCACAGTCAGAAATGAAGGAGGCATTAACTGAAATAAAGAATAATTTATACAGATTCAATAGTAGAGTAGCTAAAGCCAAGAAGCAAACTATTGATTTGGAATATAAGGAAGCAAAAAACACACAATCAGAACAACAAAAAGAAAAAAGAATCCAAAAAAATTAGGATAGTGTAAGGAGCCTCTGGGACAACTTCAAGCATGCCAACATTCGCATCTTGGGGGTGCCAGAAGGAGAAGAGCAAGAACAAGAAATTGAAAACCTGTTTGAAACAATAATGGCAGAAAACTTCCCTAACTTGGTGAAGGAAAAAGACATACAAGTCCAGGAAGCACAGAGTCCCAACAAGATGAACCGCAAGAGGCCCACACCAAGACACATCATCATCAAAATGCAAAAGGTTCAAGACAAAGAGAGAATCTTAAAAGCAGCAAGAGAAAAGCAGATAATTACCTACAAGGGAGTTCCCATAAGACTGTCAGCTGATTTCTCGAAAGAAACTTTGCAGGCCAGAAGAGAGTGGCAAGAAATATTCAGAATAATGAAAAGTAAGAACCTATAACCAAGATTACTCTATCCTGCAAAGCTGTCATTTATAATCGATGGCCATATAAAGAATTTCCCAGACAAGAAAAAGCTAAAGGAGTTCATCACCACCAAACTGTTATTATATGAAATGTTGAAGGGTCTTTTTGAAGAAAAAGATAAAATATATGAACAAACAAAATGGCAATGAATACATATCTATTGACAATGGAATCTACAAACAAATGAACAGGCAGAACAGAAACATTCTCAGAGATACAGAGAACATTTTGTTGGTTGCCATTTGGGAGGGGGGTTGGGGGAATGGGTGTAAAAGTTGAAGGAATTAAGAAGTACAAATTCATTGATAGACTGACAAACCTCAAAGGGAAAGGGGTTGGGGGATGGGAAGAAATAAACCAAAGAACTTATATGCATAACCAATGGACACAGACAACAGTGTGGGAAAAGGCGGGAGGCGGCGGGAGTGGGGAGGAGGGGGTCAATGGGGGAAAAATGAGGAACATCTGTAATACATTCAACAATAAAGATAAAAAAAAAAACCCACAAGCCCAGAAGACTACAGTAAATATGACCTCATTTGCATAGAGCTCAAAAGTGTGCAAAACTAAGCAGTATACTAAGCAGGGACATATAAATACATAATAAAACTTGCTTTGTTTAAGCAAGAGAATGAAGCTAGTGAAGAAAACAGATGGGGTGGGATGGGGAAAGCACAACACATGCATGTTTTCTGTAACTTTCTAGTTTGGGGTCAGGTAACGGGTTCATTGGTATTCCTTATATTACTCTTCATATCCTACAAATATGCTACATATCTAGTTTCATATGCATACATGAAATAAAATACATAACAAAAAATTATGAGAGAGGATAGCCTGTAAAAATGAACAAAAATGTTTTCTAAAAACATTTGGAACAAATACTGATACATACATTTCAATACTGGAAGAATAAGGAGGAAAAATGGATGAAAAAGGCACCATTGGGAAGAACTGAGAATTTACTTTATCCCCTTAAATATATCAGAACAAACAGAATCTACATTTCTTTTCCAGAGAAACTGAGAAGGAATGAATACTGCACCACCTGAAGAGAACTAATATCTATGTTTTCCCAAATCAATGTGACTCGTGACAGGAATACCAGAGGCTGGAGTTAGCTTGAATACAGTAGATAGGTTTTAAGACCTAAGGGCTTTTTGGAGCTAAATTTGACAACAAGAAGGAATTATGGTCTAGTGCCGGAAGAGACAAAAATAAAAGCAATACATGCCAGAGGAAGATATAATTACTAAACTCCAATTCTGCACTCTAGTTTTTCAAGAAAGAATGAATGGTTTTCAAATTGAAGTACACAAAAAGAAGCTATGATACCTATCCTTTGGAAAATTCTAGGAGAGACAACTACACAGATGGTATATTACAAGCTTTAAAAAGACCAGGGTTTCAAACTCTTGAGACTATCTATTTTCAAATCTAAATAAAATATGTACAAATAATATTCTATAGTACATTAAAAAATAACACATTACAACCACAAGAGATTTGTTCCAGAAATTAAGGATGAATCAATATTAGGAAATCCACTGATATAATTTGCCATAAAACCAGGTATTTACTAAAGAGGAGTATTATATCATCATCTTAATCGATGCTTAAAAAGGCATTCAACAAAATTCAACACCTTTTCCTGATTTTAATAAACAAAAGGTAATGAAATAGGAATTGAGAAATACTTAACATGATAAAGTATATACACAACTCAGCCCTAAATGCAGCCTTTTACTTAAAGAGAAATCACTAGAGGAATTCCCTCTAAAGTAAGAAAAAAAAAAAACAAGGATGTTGTTATCTCCACTAATACTTACTACTGAATTGGAGGTATTAGCCAATGTAATCAAATAAAAGAAAACAGTTACAAGCAAACAGATAGGAAAAAAAGAGGTTAAACTATTTTAATTTTTAGGTAATCTGAGAGAGAACTGAAAATACAAGATGGTCAATAAAAAAATCACTATGTGTGGATAAATTAATTCAAATTAACACATTCAATAGTCTTCATTTACACAAATAACATCCAGTCAGATGATATAATGAAAGAGAAGACCCTACTTACCATAGCAACAAAAAAGATAGAATGCCTAAAGATAAACCTTAAAAAAAAAAAAAAGCAAATCCTATATGAGGAAAACTTTATAACACTCCTGAAATAAAGAAAATTAGATTTGGACAAGTAGGAAGGTATCTCATTCTTGGATAGGACAATTCAATCTCATAAAGTTCATATAATATGGATTGAATAAAAATATCACCAGTTTTTGTTAATGAAGCTAGACAAACTGATTCTAAAGATCATATGAAAAAATAAAATCAAGAGGGGCCAGGGAAACACTGCAAAAGAAAAGCTATGACAGAAGTTAGCCCTACAGATTTAAAAAATGTACTAGAAGATATCTCTAAATAATAAAAGATAGAACTGATGAAAGAATGTGAAGAAAGAACAATGGAAGAAATAGACCCAAGTAAATAATGATATCTAGTATATGATTAAGGTGATATTTCAAATTACCAGGGAAAAGACAGACTTTAAAATAAGTGACGGCCCTGACAATTCTATTGTCATTTAGTAAAAGATAAATTGATCTCAACCTTACACTATATACTAGTAGAAACCTCTAAATGGACAAGAGATCTAAGCATAAAAATAAAAAAAAAAATCCAAATTGTAAAAACACTGGTGAATTCCTTTATGTCCTGGAAGACCTGGAAGACAGAAAAGTCTTTCTGGCTATGATTCACACGCCAGAAGCAACAAAGTTTAAGAACACATCCTGTCGGTGAGGCTGTGGAGCAAAGAAGCACTCTCACACGACTGATGGAAATGCGAAATGGCACAATCACAGTGGAGTGGAATTTGGCAAAACCTAACAAAATTAAAGATACATTTACCCTGTGCTTGACAAACCCACTTTTAAGATTCTACCCCGAAGACACACTTCAACAACAGAATGAGCTGGCTTGGGAGAAGCGGCACCTGTCAGGGCTACTGCAGGTGACTGGTACCGGGAGTGGAAGGACTCCCTGGACTCCACCCTGGCATCTGCTCCACCTCCAATTCAGCGTGCTGCGGGCAGAACTTCCGTGCTTCTACTGATCCCACGCCACACCTCTCACCTAATTCTCAAGGGCTACAACTCTCCTCAGCTCACACACACAGCTTCCCCTTACAGGACGGGTTTGTGTTCCTCCACAGCCCTTTCCATTACCAAGGGTAAGAAAAGCCTGACTGAGAGAAGAGTGCAGCTGCCAAAGACAGGAGATGCAACCAAGCTCTGGGAACAGGACACAGAGATGCACTGAAGGCCTCAGGTTAAAGAGGGCACAGGTGCAGCCAAACCTCTGGTTAAAGAGCATACAGATGTGCCCTGGCTGGTTTGGCTCACTGGTTAGAGTGTTGGCCCTCAGACCGAAGCATCACGGGTTCGATTCCTGGTCAAGGGCACGTGGCTGGGTTGCAAGTTCAATCCCCAGCCCCAGATGGGTTTGTGCGGGCAGCAACCAACCAATGTCTCTTTCTCACAGAGATGTGTCTTTCTTTCTCTCTTTCTCTTTCTCTTTCTCTCTCTCTCTCTCTCTCCCTCCCTCCCTTCCTCCCTCCCACTCCATCTAAAACTCAATGGAAAAATATCCTCAGGTGAGGATTAACAACAACAAAAAGATGCAATTAAGCCCTTGGGTTGAAGAAAATAGATGTGAGCTGAACAGGCAGCCATTTTAATTGTCAAGTAGAAAACCAGGATTAAGCAAAGCTTATTGGAGGGAAAAGGCTTCTGGCAGAAATGAAATGATTTGAGAAAACATATAAGCCAGGACTGAGAGTTCTGCAATTAGTTATGAGAGCCCTGAAGCAATAAGCAGGTATTTCTGGCCCAGGTGGTGTGAGATGGGACTGGCAACATGGGGCAAACAGGGGAGATCCAGCCAGGCCCAACACAATTCTCCTAACGCTGGCCCAGGGGAAAAACCCTGCGTGCCAACATTAGGGCCCACTGTGTACCCTTAAAAGAAAAAATGGCACATTACTAAAACTCCTATCTCTAACCTAAATATCCACCAACAGAGCACAGAATACATAAATTATAGCATATCAACACAAAGTAACATTGGAATGTTGGTTAAAGTTAATCACCACATTTTATAAACAGGCTTTGTATATGTAAAAAGCAGGGGATACATTTATTAAGAAAAATAAGTACCAGCTCAATCCATGAGTTTATACTGACAGTGACAGGATCAATGGACTCTACGTAATGCCACCAGTGTCTGGGAACAAACAGAACCTAAAGGGTAAACAAAAAATGGTTAGCACAAGAACAGGAATTTTATTTTTATGTCAGAATTAAACCCTAACTGAAGACACTAGAAAAAGTAATACAAATGAATTTATCATAATATTGCTTTAGGAGTGGAAAACAAGAAAAAAAACCCCATAATCCTTTTGTTCTTTTTTTTAAATTGACAAATTCATCTGTTCTACAAAGGATACTACCAGCTCCTCCCATCACTACTCTCCCTAATCCTGGACCTTCTCTGTTCACATCTAAGTCTTAGTACAGGATTTTGAGACTCTAATAGTTCCCCTTTTCCACTGAAAAATAGTTGTACACATTCTGAGAAAGGGCATAGGTAAGAATGCAGGACATCGTTTCTGTCTTCTCAGTCTACGATCTGGCCAGTGAAAAGTAGTAAGCAGAATGGTGGACTTACACAAGTGGTAACCCTGATGAGTGGACACTGGTGCAGGAACTTCAAAGGTGGGAGAAGCAGGCATGAACTAAGGCCAGGGGCAAGCTGGATGGAGGGAGTGTGATTTGAACCAGGGCTGGATGGTAAGTCAGAGAGAAGACTGAGGATGTATCGGGAGGGAGAAGAGGCACAGACAAGGGAGGTGGGGTTGTTGAGGCACAGCGAGTGGGCCAGTCTTACCATGCAGAGGGAGTAATGAGAGGTAAGTGGGAGAGTTTGTTGGGGGAGGGTCTGTGGAGGGCTCTGAAATCAGAATACAGAATCTGGATTTTATCCTATTGGCATTAGGAGTGGCTAAGAAACTTTAAGTAGGGGGATGGTTAAAATAGTGACATTATGGGAGAGTCTGAGAAGGACAGGAGATTCCTGCAATAGTCCAATTATTAAATGCTAAGATCTAGCCAGGAAGGTATAGTAGACAAAAGCAACAGGCAGAGTCAAGGCGGACTGCGTTTGTTCAGACTCAGTATGAGATTTCCTGCGGAAGGCTGAGTAGAACAGAGAGATGACCTCGGGCTCTTGGCCTTCAGATCTGGAAACTGGTGGCACTCGCTATGGACAAAGTTGAGCTGGGAGACGGGAAGAGAGTTCCTTTTAGTGGAATGGGACACACTGGATTTTGTCATTAGCAGGTCACGAATGTCCTATCACAGTGTATACTTCCAGTACGTAGTAAGAGAGCACCAGTTTGAGGTGGATTAAGGAATAAGTAGGATGCAAGGAAAACTGGTTATGCTAAACAGAAACATTCAAATTTGGCTATTAAAATCGAAGAAAAAATGAATTACAACTTCACACTCACTAGTAGAATGTTTACAACAACAACAACAACATAATAATGATATAATAATTATATCATTAATAATAATAATGAGAAATAACAAGTGTTGGTGAGGATGTGGAGGAACTGGAACCTTCATACACTGCTGGTGGGAAGGTAAGACGGTGCAGTTGCTGTGGAAAACAGTTTGGAAGTTTCCCAAAAAGTTAAACACAGAGTTACTATATGACCCAGCAATTCCACTCCTAGGTATATATACCAAAGAGAAATGAAAACATATATGTGTACAAAAACTCGTACACAAATGTTCATAGTGGCATTATTTACCATAGCTCAAAAGTACAAAACCAACCCAAATGGCCATCACTGATTAATGGTTAAACAAAATGTATCACCATACAGTGGAATATATTCAACCATAAAAAGGAATGAAGTACTAATAACATTCTACAGCATGGATGAACCTTATGCTAAGTGAAAGAAACCAGTTACGAAAGCTCATATATTGTATGACTGTACTTATGTGAAATGGCCAGAATAGGTAACTCTATAGAGAAAGAAAAGGTAAGTGGTTTCCAGGGGCTGGAGGGAGAGGTGAAGGGAGAGTAACTGCCAACAGGTTGAGGCAACGTGAGTCTATACTCAAGCATGAAGAAAGCAGGAAAGGAGCCACTGAGAAGGTAGCAAAGGAAGAAAAACAGGCAGGGGAGAGGGATAATTGAGGGAATAAACTCTCCATAAGAGACTAAGAACATTTTTCAAATTGTTAATAAAACATCAGAAAGCAGATGCCAGTGCTATTAAGATGATTCTCCCTACTGGGCAGCAGCACTAGGTATAATACCTTTGGGAATGCTTCAGAGACAGTTACAAAAGCAACATCCATTCTTGCTTAAAAGCAAATCATTCTCCATTCATTCTGCCTTTGTTGGCCCACCACCTAAATGCATTACAACTTGAGTATATGTGTCTGGGTTCTAGCAGAGTTGAACAGATATTAACTGTGAATAAATGTTCCAGAGGTGCTCAAGTACCCATGCCTTGACACTTTTTCTTAACATGAAAAAAAAAAAAAGATTTTGTGAGCTGTCTTCTTCCACAGTCCATGCTCATCTTTACCAGCAGGAGGAGCTGTGTTCCCTCCTCCCATCTTTCTGTGACCTGAGAAGAGAGAAGTAAAGCCTGTAGCTGGAAAAGCTACCCTCCAATAGCAGAACACCAGGGAAGAAACCATTTTTATTTGTACTGGGCGGAGGGGAGGAAAGGGGGAGGCATGTGGCATAGCGACTTGAAAGAAGTTATAGCTAGGGGGTCCTCTGACAGGTCATCAAGGTTTCAAAGCCCCCATTACCTGTCCTGGGCTCAGCGTAACCACATGTCTTCGAGCTTTCTGGAACTGAGGAAAACGTTTAAAATCAGGATTGACAACATTGACTTTACTAAACACGCTAGATTCTTCATAAGGGATTCTAGTTGGATAAAGGAAAGGAGTATCTTCAGGAGGAAAGAGATGCCATCTTTTCCTAATTAAAGAAAAAAGAAGATATAAATTAGTACTCTGAACTTGTGATAAAACATGTAAGAAGGCAGCAGCTAAGTGTTTGTTTTTACTCGTTTTCATTCAGTCCATAAAGGGATAGAGGAGCAATGATAGTGGTCACCTGGCCCACCTCAGTAAGTGCTGGAATCTCCTCCATTGAAACCTGGTGGTGGCAGGGCAGGAGCTAATGATGCCCTGACGCAGCACCTTTGCTGGGACAGGATCGGTTTGAAAGATCATTCTTTCATATCCCAAATCAAAGTCCTCATACACTGTTTCCATCCCTCATTCTATAGTTCCTAGAATAAATCCGCCCCCCCCCCCCCAATATCTGTATTCTTATCTTATCCAGAGCAACCACCTGTAGTTCTACCCACCAGATAGTTTCCAGACTTCTTCCTGTTGGGGTTGTAAATTTCTTAAGGTAATCCATTAAGGAAGAGAAATGCATAAACGATGCCCCATAACTAAAAAGCAGAGTAATATAGAAATTTTCAAAAAGAGAAAACTGTAAGATGTTTCAGTCACTTTAAAAATTTTGAAAAACTTACAAAGCACCAGACACACCCATACTTCGAGCCAATAGAGGGAAGATACGGGAGACAAAGGAGGGACAATAGTTCAAAAGGAAGAGACAGAGACAGAAACACACTAATGGGGAAGCAAAGAGAAAGACAGCCCTGGCCGGTTTTGCTCAGCGGTTAGCGCGTCAGCCTGCGGTCCCGAGAAAGACAGATGGGAAAACACCTAGTTCTGAGAAAAGCCTGAAGCCCTCTAGTGACCCAGTGCAGTTCCACGGGGCTGTCACCCACGTCCTTTCAAAACTGGGAAGCAGTTGGCTGCTATTTTTGAATGAAGGAGTATATACTCAAGCCTTATTTTGCTTTAGAAATGGTAAGGCTACTCCATTCCACTGTACCTGTTGCTAGCTTAGAAAAATTTTTGGTATTTGGTATATTTAGAATGTTAGAATTGGAAGGATTTTTAAGAGATCATCAGTCTAATTTCACTTTCAAAGTAGTAGAGAGGGACTCAGTATTGGCTTGAGTCTTTCACTGGTAGAACCGGAACTAAGTCACAGATCTCCTGACCTCTCCGGTCCCAGTTCCTATCTCTGCGCCATAGCTGTGTTTCCCAAAGGAAGAGCCATAACAATAACCATCCCATACAATTTGCTTGGCTTGGCTTAAAATGTAATATATATGCATCCTTCTTTTGTTAATCAGAAAACGTAGTCAATCATCATGTCATCCCCTGCTGAAGAGCTCTCAGGGTTCTACATGCTGCAAGAACAGAGAACAAGCAGTATTTGCCTGGGAGTCAAGACCCTCATGACCATTTCTGCTTTCCCCTCTGTGCTGCCCAAGAAATGTCCTGAACGGCCAGGAGAGGAGACGGGGGTATCATTAAATAGGGGAAATAAGGCTGCATATATAACAGCTGGAGTACATCTCCAAGTGGAAGAAACAAATTCAGTTGTCCCTCGCCACTTCGCGCTTTGACTTTTGTGGCTTCACTCTATCGCAGTTTTTTCAAATACTGTACCATACTATATTTGAAAAAAGAGTGATAGAGTGAAGCCGTAAAAGTCAAAGCGCGAAGTGGCGAGGGACAACTGTATATAAATAAAGAATCCCACTTTGTGGAAATTCATTTATTGTGGTACACTCTGGAACTGATTAACCATGATAAAGGAGAGCCGACTGTTCTCACATAACTCCTAAAACCAGAGACTATCAAAATTATTACCTGACTTAGCTCTTTTATCTCTTAGGGTCCACAGACTGTGAAGATACAAAATTGAACTAAAGCCCGGCCGGTGTGACTCAGTGGCTGAGCGTCTAACCATGCACCACGAGGTCGCTGGTTCGATTCCCAGTCAGGGCACATGCCCAGGCTGTGGGCTCAATCCCCAGTGGGGGGCATGCAGGAGGCAGCCAATCGATGTTCTCTCTCATCGATGTTTCTACCTCTCTCCTCCTCTCCCTTCCTCTCTAAAGTCAATAAAAAAAAATTAAAGAAACAAAAAACCAAAATTGAACTAAAGTGAAAAAAATACTGCATTGTGTCTATAGGTAGGCACAAACTAAAATTTAGAGTTGAAAGAGGCTGTCTAGTCCAGCATTTCTCAAACCAGGCTCCCTGGCATCGCCTCAGGGGCCTGAGGGATAGCAGCAAAGTCTCTTCCTTTCAACAAACTGCTCTGCTCTTACTTATTTAGGTTTGAAGAAAGGGTGTTCCTGCCTTTTTTTTTTTTTTAGAGAGAGGGAGGAAGGGGGTGGGGGAGAGAGAGAGAGCAACATCAATGTGAGAGAGATATATCTTGCACATGCCTCAACTGGGGATCGAACCTGCACACTAGGTATGTGCCCTGACCAGGAATCAAACCCACAACCTTTGGTGCATGGGATGATGCTCCAGCCAACTGAGCCACCTGGCCAAGGCAGGTGTCCCTGATTTTAAATAAAAGTTTGAAAATTACACAGACTCTTATGTAAAAGAGCTAAGCAGAGGACTGAAGCTGAACTGGGAGAGGAATCCTGGAAGTCTAGGATCAGCTTTGTGAAGGCAATCCTGAACATGGCTGAAAGACACACACGGAAACACCATTTAACTGTTCCCCTCACTTCACAAAGGAGGAAACAACCAGAGGTCAAGAGATCTTACCTGGTCGTGAGGCAGGCTGACAGGATAGAGCCAGGATAAAATCTTGGGGTCCTACCACCTACCAGTACTGGTTTCTCTTCCTGTGCAACACAGACACACACACAGGCACGCAGACACACACGTTCTCATGCCGCACATGTGTATTACCTTCCTTGTACCTGGAATACTAAGTTGCAACCATAGGAGTCCAGATGACAGGGTGTGTGAGCCCCCAGGGAGCCGATCCACAATGTACTTTCCTGTCCATTTCTTCCATGAAACCCGAAGTCGGACCATATCACATCCTGTTTTGAAAATAAAGTTATAGTCCATCAAGAACCAAACAATTCCTCTGTATGGTAGTGCTGCACATTTAGTTTGACATAACCCACATCCATGGAATTAAAAATATGTATAAGCTAGAAGAGAGCAAACTAGTGAACCAGGCATGCAGGTTTTGTTTTATTCATATTTTAAATCATGAATTTTTCCTACTGAGTTAAAAAAAACAGCAACAAAAACATGTTGTACAGAACATGTTTCTAAATGCTTACACTTCTTTTATCAGTATCTTCAATCTATATTTTCTGTTTTTAGAGGCAAACTATTAACAGCTGTATTCAGAGAAAAATATTTTGAGAATACATTTAATAGATGGTTTTGAGGAAGACTAGAACGAGCATTTCCATTTTGGTTTGAGAGATGAAAAAAGCGGAACATGTGCACATAACTAGCATGTGACAGAAGGGGCAGTTTTCGCAAGGTCAGCACCATTTTAAGTGCCTATGGCTCACACGCAGCAGCTCCGGGGGTGGCAAAGTCATGTGCCTTCTGGATACAGCCCATAAGCTCCATGCAGTGAGCTCACCTCTGTATTCCCAATGCCTAAAATTATACCTGGCTCAAGGTAAGTATTTAAAATCCTGGATGCTTGGGAAGAAAAGAAGAATCTGTTGGCTGATTATGGGTAAATGGTTCAGGTCAAGAACATTTTTAAGCATCTACTGCATAGCTGCTATGATACTGGGTATTTGGAACACAAAAATTAATACAACACAGTCTCAGCCTTTAAATCTAAGAAAGAAAGATAGTCCACAAATCTATAATGTGGCAAGTTTTCTGACAGAAGTGAGCAGAGGATGCTCTAAGACAACAAAAGGACTCCTGGTCCCAAGCAGAGAGCTCGGGGAAGCCTTCAATTAACCTGGGTCCTTGTTGAACAGTTCACCACATCTGACTCTGGAATTTGACTAAAGGCAGCTGAAAGATGGCAGTATAAAAACAGGGGTTGCCTTAGCTAAGCAGCAGCTGGTTTAAGTGATTCTGAATCATCTGCTACATACACTCCCTTGGGAATCTAATGAACGCTAACACCCCTTTCCACAGAGAAATACACACACACAGTATTTCTCACATCCTTGGAGGGAGACGACGCGCTGACCGCAGGCGAGAAACTGTTCTACAGCACTGCTGCAGAAAGAATCACAGAAAAAAGGTTTTCTACAGGATGGGGGGTGGGGGCGGGTTACTATATGAGAAACTGACAAGAGGCTTCTCTGACTTCTAATCTAACACAATATAGACTAGTAAAAGAAAATTATCTTGGAATAATTAAATCAAGGTGACCTAAACTATCTAAATTTCAGCAGCAAGTTGGCTGGAAAAACCAAAGGATGAAGAGTTGGGGGGGGGGGGCGGTTAGTGGGAGGGGGTTTGCAGAGAGAGAGAGAGAGAATCAAAGTAATTTGTCAGCATTTGAGGTACTATTTTGTTTATTTTCCCACAGGCTCTTGAGAGTTGGGCCTTTCTTGCCAATTGAGTTCAGCTACTTATAGGAAGCCAAATGTCTGAAATCAATACAGGCCTGGGAAGAATCTGCCTTAAGTCTTGCTACTAGGTCACAACATCAGTGAAACTAGCACAGATGATTGATGGGGTGACCCACCCTGGAGTTCTACTCTAATGGCTACCTCAAGCATTGGGAAAGTCTTTAGAAAGCATCTATATGCAGGAAATTCTATTCTAACCCTGCCCCTGAAAAGAGCAATCAAGTGTCTGGTTGTTAACTGCTTACCACATAAACACTATCTGTTTTCTTGGAACTTCCAGAAGATCCTAGATTTGCTTTCTACAAATACAGACACATTCATTTCCTCTTCTGCCAAAAATTCCAGTCTTACATTATCTGAAAAATTGTCATACCTCCTCCTTTTCCTTCCTTCCCTCTTTCTTTTTCTCCCTCCCTCCCTTCCTTCCAGAAAGTTCCCTCTCATTCCTACGCAGTCAGTCTGCCTGCCTCCACCCTTAGCTCATGCAATCACTGATCTAGTTCTGTTATCACAATATTTTGAAACTGGATTCCATATAACAACAACGAGGATACGTTTTTTTAAATTGTTTAATTAAAAATGTCCACTAACACTGTAAACAAAATAAGAGACTCAAACTTTGGTTATAATAAATAAAATTCAAGAAAATGTATATGCTTCATTTAATATTCTTGATCATATATAATATTCTAAAACTATTACAACATTTAAGTGATAAAATAATGTCACAAACAGTATTGAACTCTAGTAAAACATTTTATACTCTTCCATCTTGAGGCTTGGTTTCTGCATTTGACATTAAAGTCCCATGGAGTCCCAACTTCATTCAAGTTGGCATCTCTAGCACCTAACAGTGAGCACAACAAACGCTACAAACCTGCTCCGTCATTGATCTAGGTAAGTAGATCTATTTTTATCTTTAGTGCCCCCTAAAACTATTCCAATTTGCAAGTTAAATAATTGTCACAGAATCAAACACCACTTAAAAATGTTGTACAAGTAACTAAATCTTCCATAACTTTACAGTTTTAACCAGAGAAGTGAAGAAAAACTGGTAAGATGCTTGTAAGAGAAGGACAGCTTTTTTGGCCTACCATGTAAACCAATTACCAAAAATAATTCTTCAATTGTTCAGTCCTAGAACACAGTATATTACTTGGTGAAATATTTAAATAATATTTTCACATATGCATTATTACTTTCATTCCTATTTTACAGATAAGAAATCTAAGGCTCTGAGAACACCCCAACTCAAAAGTATTTGCTCTTTACCCATATCATGACATTTGGGCAAGTTGTGGTTATGGTTAATTTGAGTCTGTCACATTAAAACTTGTCTTCTATTTTTCTCCATGCCTATATCATAAATACATGTAGGAAAACTGATTACCCATAATTATGTAATAAACTTACATCTAAATAAAAAACAAAAACAAAAACAACCTAATACTGGTCAAAACAATAAAAATGGAACTTTAATACATCAACTTAAATTTCAAACAGCCCTTAAATGGACATTACAAATTAGCAAATACTTAAGGCTCTTTTTTCTTGGGAAAATTACCTTAAGTAACATAAACAGAAAACAGGTAGAATAGGATAAACATCCAAATTCTTACATTCCCATTTGTTTCACTAGAAAGCATCACTGGCCATCAAACCCTTTTAATCATTACTAAACCACCTGGTTCAATTTCAACATACTCTCATAACTATGTTACAAAGTCCAAGACAGATTAGATAGAACTAATCTTCCACATATTGCATTTTGGGATTCTGTGTCCTGGTGACCAAACAAGGTTCCTGACTCTCAGTAGCCAATATGAATCACAACATAATCTGAATCTACCTGGAAAACATTCTTGGAGTAATATACCTTTTGCTATAAAGTTGATTTATAATAGCCTCAATTGTGATGTAGACCAGGTATTCTCAAAGTGGCCCACAGACCCCCTTGGGGGTCCCTGAGACCCTTTCACAGGATCTATAAGGTTGAAATTATTTTCATACTGCTACTAAGATGTTATTTGCTTATTTCACTGAGTTGACATTTGCATTGAGGGCACAAAAATAATGATGAATATCGCTGGCCGGTTCGGGTCAGTGGTAAGAGCATCAGCCCACAGAGCAATGAGTCTCAGGTTTGATTCTGGTCAAGGGCACGTACCTTGGTTGCGGTTTGTCCCTGGCCCTGGTCGGGGTTGTGCAGGAGACAACCAGTCGATGTGTCTCTCTCACATCGATGTCTCTCTCTCTCTCTCTCTCTCTCTCTCCCTTCCTTTCTCACAAGATAAATAGAAAAATGAACTCAGGTAAGGACTGATAAAGAAAAAAAATGTTGAATAAAACTGCTGGTCAAGCCCTGGCTGGTTTGGCTCAGCAGTTAGAGTGTTGGCCTGCAGTCCAGAGAGACCCAGGTTCGGTTCCAGCTAAGGGCACGTACCTCGGTTGCAGTTTGTCCCCGGCCCTAGTTGGGTTGTGTGGGTGGCAGCCACTCGATGTGTCCCTTTCACCTCTCTCTCTCTCTCTCTCTCTCTCTCTCTCTCTCTCTCTCTCCCTCTCCCTCCCTTCTGCTGTATCTGAACAAAAAATGAAAAAATGTCCTCGGGTGAGGATTAAAAAAACAAACAAACAAAAAAAAACCTGCTGGTCAAGACAGTGGAACCAAAGTGTACTAGTAGAATTGTATTTTTTTAAATAAAAGAGCTTTATCGAGATATAATTGATATACAATGAACAGCATACAATTTTGTAAATTTTTACATATGTATATAGCTGAGAAACCATTACTACAATCAAGATGACAAACCTTTTGATCATGTCCAAAAGTTCCCCCATGACCCTTTGTAACCCATCTCTCCCTACTTCCTCAATCTGAGACAACTACTAATCTATTTTCTGTCAATTTATTTGCAAGTTCTGCAACTTTATATAAATGGAATCATATATTAAGTACTCCTTTTTCATACTAACATTAATCCAAAGGCAAACCAAACAAAGTTGACTTCAGACAATGTAGACATCAAAACAAGGAAGAAGCCCCTGAGAAGGAGGTCATTTCATCATGATGAAAGATCAATCCATTAAGAAGACACAATAATCCTAAATGTGTATGAACTTAATATTTTCAAAATACATGAAACTAAAACTGACCAACCTAAACTGAAAAAGAAACAAATATATAATTATAGTTGGGAAATTTCAATACCTTTCTCTATATAATGGGTAGAACAAGAGTATAGAAAATTAACAATCAACTATATTTATAAAAACAGTAACAACAGAATACACATTAGTTTTAAGTGCACCTGGAACATTTATCAACATTGATTACATTCTGGGCCATAAGGTAATAAACTTAAAAGGAGTAAAATCATACAAAGTATATTCTCTGGTTATAATGGAATTAAATTAGAAATTGATAACAGAAAGATAGCCAGAAAAATCCCCAAATATTTGGAAACTAATATTATACTTCTAAATATCCCATAAGTCTAAGAATAAATCACAAAGAAAATTAGAAAATATTTTCTCAACATTCTGCATTCCTCTCCATTTAGTCCTTTTTGGAAATTCACCACCAAGCTTGAGTACTGCACACCAACAAAACTCTAAGTGTTGTCAGGTTTTCTAGTAAGACTTTGCTGTAGTGTGGATAGCTATGATTGGTGAGTCAGCTGTCTGTAGCTACCAGTTACACCAAGATTGTTAACAGCATTTTTACTTTTTGTACAACAAAGAAGTTTTGTAAATAAAATCTTAACATTAAAAAAAAAGAAAAAGAAAATATTTTGAACAGAATGAAAATGATTTTGGAAACTTGTATCCTGACACCCATAAGCTTCAAAGCTTCCTTATACTTAAAAGACTTTCTGATGAGAATGGCGATATTAGCAAATGTCGCTTTTTTTCTATAATGAAGCATATGGAAATGTGTCACTAGTTGGAAGACCTACATAACTCAATAAACCAATATTTTCCAAATGGATGATGAACGGTATCACAAAAGCTGCATTCCATGCAAGATATACCAGTGGAGTTTATTGTGAGAGTACAAAGAGTTCGGTGCTTACGGGTTCAGACTCTACACTGCAACACACAAACCTTTTGAGAAACTACCCCTTGTCAAATTTGGTGGAGTATTAAAAAAAATATCCACAAGGCTGCTAAAAAACCTCTTTTTCAGCTGCATATGCATGAGGCAAGATATTCTTCATATACTTCAAATATACCAACAAATAACAACAGATTGAGTGAAGAGGCAGATAAAAGAATCCAGCTGTCTTCTATTAAGCCAGACATCAAAAAGACTTACAAAAATGTAAAACAATGTCACTCCTCTCAGAACATTAAAAAAACTTTGAATATAGCTATTTTCAAAAAGATGTTACTTATGTTCACATATGAGTTTATTTGAAATGAATTAACAAATACTTTTAAAATTAATCAGTTTTAATGCTTAACTACCTACCATTTTATGACAGACAGAAAAATACTTAAAAAAAAAAAAGACTTAGTGAGTGGCTGAATGAATTATAGTGGTAAAAGTAAAATAACAACAACTTTGGTACCTGATGTAAGAATACTTGGTACTCTGAAAACTTTGATCTAAAAAATAATATAATCGTAATAGACTTGGTTCATAGCAGATTTTCCTGTTCTAATCTAGAGACTCAATCACCATGATGTGAGCTGACAGAAAATTCATTCAACTAAAAAGACCAGGTTTTATAAAGGCTCAATTGGAATTCCAGAACATTACCAAATGGACTGGGCACATGTATGTCCAGTACAGTTATGCCTGGGCTGAGACAGACAACTGATGGGGTCAGATGAGAGATTCATCCAAGGCAGAGAGAGCCTAGACTCAGCATAAATGGAATTCCTTAACTCTAGCTGTCGAGTCCCCACAGAACTGAGTATATTTAGACCCTCTGTAGCATACAGTGCAGGAGTTAAAGCTTGGAGGGCAGACTGCTTGGGTTATTCTTCTCAGTTGTATATTTTCAAAACTGTTTTACTTAACCACTTTGTGCCTAATTTTTCTTACAATAGGGATAATTATTAAATCATAGGGTTACTGTGAGGATTATAAATGTAAAGCACTTAGAAAAGCACCAAGTATAAGCAAGTACTTGATAAATATTATATTATACACTATTTTGCCTGAAATATGGAGTAAAGAGGTATTAATCTGATCTACAGAGTGGGTGGGGGTATGAGAAATATAATAAAATACTCTAAAAGTTAACTAGGATATCTAAAAGGTCCAGGGTTAAAGATCCATAAAGTGATCACAACTAAGGTTGTAAGAAAAAAATTACCTCCAAATTATCATTTGAAAATGAGTCAAGAGTAGATTTGGTATAGACTTTAGATTCAGAAAGCATCTACTGTTTTTAAAACTAGCCCTGGCCAGTTTGGCTCAGCGGTTAAAGCGTCGGCCTGCGGTCCGGAGAGACCCGGGTTTGGTTCCCGCTAAGGGCACGTACTTCAGTTGCAGTTTGTCCCTGGCCCTGGTTGGTCGTGCGGGTGGTAGCCACTCGATGTGTCCCTTCACGTCGATGTTTCTCTCTCTCTCTCCCTTCCTCTCTCTCCTTCCCACTCTATCTGTACAAAAAATGGAAAAATATCCTCGGGTGAGGATAAAAAAACAACAACAACAAAAAAACCCAATGCATTCCGTTCATGGTTATGAGAATACATGTATATCCTCAACTAACAATTATAAAGCAAGTGATATATTTTTCAATTTTTAATAAAAAGCAAAAATTAAGTAAACATTTAAAAAATTTAATAAAGGAAAGCTACAAAGTATTAACAACTGTATCAGAGTAATTACATAAACATCAGCATCTACACCTTCACTCAAAGTGAAAAAGAAAAATATAGGCTGAATGAAAAACTCAGGAGTCCAAGGACTATCATCCTATGTGAGAAGGAAGTCAGGGCAGGGGCGGGGTGGAGGGGTGAAGGACTCTGAAGCCTTGACCTGATGGTGGACAAAGCAAAGTCATCCTAACAGCTTCCTGGAAATCCTCCCTTCCTACCCCAGGCCTAAGACTCACACAGAAACCAGAGCAGTTTGCAAACTCACTCCACAAAATAAATTGGCAGTCTGAAGTAGAAAACACTGAGAGGAAAGAGGGCATGTAGCCTGCAAGCTGTGCTGTCAATCATGTCAACAGATGGCAGAGAACTTCCACTTTCTTACTTCTGCAGGTACACCCACACCCCTCTGCAAGTACCCCCACACTTCTGCAGGACTTCTGTAATCAAATACTGGGAGCCCAACATCTGACTCAGGCCATAAACCTGCACTAGACCCCGGAGCAGGGAGAGATGGCAGCAGCAGCCTGGCATGCTTCCAGGAGTCTAGGAATGCTTCTTCCTGTAATCAGCTTTGTACCTCCATCTACCTCACTGACAGAACAAGAACTTACATGTAGGTCAGAGGAAATGAAGAGTCATACACAATTTATACTTCCAATATACTCCAAACCAGCTCAGGTGCTGTTTAAAGGCACAGGAGAGAGTGTAGAGGAAATCTGGTGAGTAGAAAAACAGTGAGAAGGTTGCTCATGTGTGCGCGCCAAATATTCAGTTTCTCTTGAGCAAATCCTTTTTGGCTTGAGTGGATAGAATACTCAACACTCACAGTGACTTCTATTGAAAGAAAAAGACAGTGAAAGGAAAAGGTACCAGGGAAATGCTAATTTGTGACCTTTTCTTTTCTTTTTTTTTTTTTTATCCTCACCCGAGGACATTTTTCCATTTTTTGTTCAGGTAGAGTGGGAGGGAGAGAGAGGAAGGGAGAGGGAGAGAGAAACATCGACGTGAAGGGACACATCGAGTGGCTGCCACCCGTACGACCAACCAGGGCCGGGGACAAACTGCAACCGAAGTACGTGCCCATAGCGGGAACCGAACCCGGGTCTCTCCGGACCGCAGGCCGACGCTCTAACCGCTGAGCCAAACTGGCCAGGGCTGACCTTTTCTTAAGAACAAATTATTACCGTGATTAGAAGGAATGTGTTGACTTACCTGGAAAATATCTGTGTTGTCTTCAAATAGACTGGCAACATATTTATAGTCAGCATAAGCCCAGAATTTGGAATAATCATAATCTGTAAATGGTCCAGAAATACTAGAGTGGTCCCAGTTCCAGGTCAGAAACTCTTCAAGTGTAGCTTCTACATAACTACATGTAGTTTCAAACTGAGGAACTGCAATGTAAGGGAATTCAACTTTAAATGTATACAGAACAGTTTCCAAAATAGTCATATTTTAAAAATAAACATAATGGTTAACCAAAAATTTTAACTATCATTTAAATTAATTAAAAATTAATTTTGTACTTGCTATATAATTAAAATCATTTACAACATTCACAATACTCATGATTAAACATAAAAGTGTCTTTCACCAAAGTGTCTTTCGATAGATGACTGGACAAAGAAGATGTGGTACATATACATAGTGGAGTACTAAGTCCTAAGAAAAGATGAAATACTGCCACTTGTAACAACATGGATGGATCATGAGCATATCATGCTAAATGAAATAAGTCAGGTGGAAAAAGTCAAGAACCACATGATTTCACTCATATGTGGAATAAAAAACTGAAAGCAACAAAGGAATAAACACGACAACAGACAAATAGTGGTTACCAGAGGGAAGGCGGTGGAGAGGAGGTATAAAAGGGTAAAAGGAGTCAAACATATGATGATGGAAAGAGATTTAACTTTGGGTGGTAAACACACAATGCGGATGATATATTACAGAACTGCACACTTGAAACCTACATAATTTTATTAACCAATGTCACGCCCCCCAAATTTAATAAACAATTTTTAAAAGGACACTATTTTTTTTTAATCCTCACTGGAGGATATTTTTCCATTTACCTTCTGATAGAGTAGGAGGGAGGGAAAGAGAGAAACATTGATGTGAGAGAGACACAGCGACTGGTTGCCTCCTGCAAGGCCTGACCAGGACCGAGGATGAACTGCAACTGAGGTACATGCGCTTGACCAGAATCAATCCCGCAACTCATTGGTCCATGGGCCGATGCTCCAACCACTGAGCAAACCAGCCAGGGCAAAAAAAGACACTATTTAATTAACCATTCATTTTAAAATAAAATAGTAAAATATTCTAAGTTTTAAAAAAAAGTAATCTTAGAATTAAAGACTACCTACTAACTGATTAAGTTGTTAAAGAGAAAAGCCAAAAGCTTTCCTGAAAGAAAGGGTTTACTGAGCCATATGCTGGCCAGAAAAAGGACCAGGTCCTGGGGCATGCAGTCTAATCCTTGATGGAGCTCTTTTATCCAAACATTTTGGGGAAAAAAGATGTAAGCTGTTTTAAAAGAATTTGCATTAGCTATAGATAAAGGGGGTGGGAGAAGGTGAAAGGGGGCTAGTTCTGGGATAGGTGTATAGTCTGTAAGGAAGAAGTGTTTGTTCTTTAGGATTGGTTATGGGCAATCTTCTGGGAAATTTATGCATCAGCAAGATGCAGTGGCACCTAGTGGTTAGGGTACTCTGCAATTTTCTCTATATAATGGAATGTAAGCAGTCTTTCGTTGGTTCTGTCTTGCAGTTATCTGATTAACCTCTCATTTCTTCTTTCTACCCTCCAGCCTGCTGTAATTGAAGACATCTCAGCTTGTCTGGGAAGCTTAGTTTGTTAGAGCATTGTCCCCATCCCCCAAGGTTGTAGGTTCAATCTCTGGTCAGGGCACATCCAAGAAGCAACAGATGAATGCATAAATAAATGGAACAACAGCCCTAGCCGCCGGTTTGGCTTAGCGGTTAGAGCGTCAGCCCGCAGACCAGAGAGTCCCAGGTTCGGTTCCCATTAAGGGCACGTACCTCAGTTGCAGTTTGTCCTCGGCCCCAAACAGGGCCGTGTGGGTGGCAACCAATCGATGTGTCTCTCTCACGTCGCTGTTTCTCTCTCTCTCTTCTTCTTTCTCTCCCTCCCGCTGTAGCTGAAGATAAATGCAAAAATGTCCTCATGTGAGGATAAAAATAAATAAATAAATTGAACAACAAATCAATGTTTCGCTCTCAAATTAATCAATAAAATATATTTTTAAAAAAGATCTCAGAGTTATTTTCCTGTCACAGTAATCCAATGGAATACGTTATTTAGTTCCTTTTAAATTTTTACTTATTGATTTTAGAGAGAGGGAAAAGGGGTGGGGAGAGAAACATCAATTTGTTGTTCCACCCATGCATGTATTCATTGGTTGATTCTTGTTAAGTTCCCTGACCAGGGATCAAACCCACAACCTTGGCATATTAGGACAACACTCTAAACAACTGAGTACAGTCAGGGCCCAATGGAATACTTTAGACTGCCTTTTTCACTCGCATTCTCTCACAAATGTATAGTGGAGTTTTCCTGAGGCTATATGACATGTATTGATGTCAGTGCTTTGACAGAATACAGTCGTCCCTCGCCACTTCACGCTTCGACTTTTGCAGCTTCACTCTATCGGTTTTTTTCAAATATGTTCATTAAAAAGTTGATCGAGACAGTGAAAATCATACAGCATGCGCTCGGTTGTCTGAGTCAATTAAACACTCCTGTATTACAATTAAAATTACTGTACGTATGGACTGTAGGCCTATGTATTCAAGCACTCCAGGAATCCTTCAACCCCAGGTGCAACCGCTAGAGTCTGGACTGTATATGATTATGTTCTCATATTTTAAAATGTCTAAATTTTAATTTCTTTTTTTTTTTTATCCTCACCCGAGGACATTCTTAAATTTTTTTGTTCAGATAGAGTGGGAGGGGGAGAGAGAGAGAAACATTGACGTGAAAGGGACACATCGAGTGGCTGCCACCCGCACAACCCCAACCAGGGCCAGGGACAAACCACAACAGAGGTACATGCCCTTAGCGGGAACCGAACCCGGGTCTCTTGGACCGCAGGCCGATGCTCTAACTGCTGAGCCAAACTGGCCAGGGCTTAATTTCTAATATGTTAACTATCACTATATATAACCCAGACCAACAAAAAATCATTGGGGTACTCAATAATTTTTAGTGTAAAGGGAAACTCAAACCAAAAAGTTTGAGAACAATTCTGACATTGGTGGAAGTGGAGTTCTTGGGATGCTATGAGGAAAAGCATTTCCTGAGGCCCCCACAGGAGATGGGTTTTTTTTTTAAATCCTCACCCGAGTACATTTTTATATCCATCTTCAAATAGAGCGGGAGGGAGAGAGGGAGGAAGAGAGAAAGAGAAACATCGATGTGAGAGAGACACATCGAGTGGTTGCCACCCACACAACCCACCCAGGACCCGGGACAAACTGCAACCGAGGTACATGCCCTCAGCGGGAACCGAACCTGGGACTCTCTGGTCTGCAGGCTGACGCTCTAACTGCTGAGCTAAACCGGCCAGGGCAGGAGATGCGGTTTTGTGGAAAGCTTTATTGATGATAAAAAATTAAGGTGGTTCCCCTTCGAGTTTCCATCTCTATACATCTCGTTATGGAAGAAGTCCAATCTTGTCCTCAGCAGGGCCAGAATTAAGGCCACTGCCCTCAGTTTCTGCTCCATATTAAAGTCCAGTCCAGTCCAGTCCAGTATCTGGCTAGCTTAGCTTGTCTTCCCAGCTGCAGTCCATTGCATGTGGGGTCCACATGGCCATGGGCCATGCAGATGCTTAAGGCCACGTGGGTATGGAGAGAGAAGATGCAAACGCATAGGTGAGTGTGGGTCATGGGGTGAGAGAGAACAAGAGCAAGAGGCCAGCAAGAATAATAGAAGGGGAACTCTTTGGGGATTTTAACTCTTCAGAATTCATTAGCTTTTTATGGGGTCAACCCCCTAGCCAATCCGTTGCTCCCCAGGCTATACTGACAGGCAAGTACCTACCCTGCATCACCCTGACTTCACTGCACATGCACCCATACCCTCCCCCTTTGTTGAATCCCTTCCCCCAGTGATCTGCAGGGAATGGATTGGTGGTTTCTTAGGGAGCATGAACCTGTAGCTTCCTGGTGAAGCTGCCTAGATAATCAGGCTTATAATGTCTGGCCTCCACTTCGCTCACTTCTTCTTCTTATTAACTAGCTAATTATGATGATAATTCTTCAAATTAAAAAAAAGGCAACACAAAAAACTGTCTTGAAAATTTTCTGATTTTATATTATTTATGAATCATACACAGCTCCTCAGATCATTACATGGACAATGGCAATTTAAAATCTGTTCATTTATTAGCTCATTCATTTCAAAATAATTTATTAAGTAGCCAATTTGTAACTAGCACTGTGCTCAGGCTTATGGGAACATAAACAGATAATACTCTTGAGTTTAGAATATATTTAAATATATAAAGCTTTAACAGGAAATCTGAGGCATCATATAATTAAATGCAAAATTCTGTACCACATGCAAAGAGGAAAAGGCAGAGAGGGTCTTCGAGAGAATTCTACTGTCCGTCCACAGTGGTTTGTTATTATGGGTATGATTTATTTATACAAGAATTATTCTTCTAAATAGTGATGAAATAAAATTTTTTTGCAACCAGAAAAATATTTTAAATGCACACTGGAAAGTTAATATTCAAGAAATCAGCCCTGGCCCTGGCCAGTTTGGCTCAGCGGTTAGAGCGTCCGCCTGCAGTCTGGAGAGACCCGGGTTCGGTTCCCGCTAAGGGCACGTACTTCGGTTGCAGTTTGTCCCCGGCCCTGGTTGGTCGTGCGGGTGGCAGCCACTCGATGTGTCCCTTCACGTCGATGTTTCTCTCTCTCTCTCCCTTCCTCTCTCTCCCTCCCACTCTATCTGTACAAAAAAAAAAATGGAAAAATATCCTCGGGTGAGGATAAAAAAAAAAAAAAAAAAAAAAGAAATCAGCCCTGGCCAGTTTGGCTCAGCGGTTGGAGCGTCAGCCTGCGGTACAGAGAGACCCGGGTTCGGTTCCCGCTAAGGGCACGCAGCTCGGTTGCAGTTTGTCCCCGGCCCTGGTTGGTCGTGCGGGTGGTAGCTACTCGATGTGTCCCTTCACATCGATGTTTCTCTGTCTCTCTTCCTCTCTCTCCCTCCCGCTCTATCTGAACAAAAAATGGAAAAATGTCCTCGGGTGAGGATAAAAAAAAAAAAGAAATCTGATTATGATTTCCTTTGCAAAAGCATAAAATCCTTTCAAGGGGGATGTAGATCTAACAAATGCAAATTAGCACAATGCTTGACACACAGC